ATACCTTTAAGGCTAGCTAAAAAGTTATAATTTAAAGTTTCCTTTTATTAGCCTTTAACTATAGTAATTAATTAGTTATTATAGTATAATATCTAAGTTATTAGCTAGATATATTATTTATAGTTAAGGCTTGTGGCTAAGAGCTTAAACCAGTAGACAGAACTTAGACTTTGGTCCTAAGCAATAAAATTAAAGTCCGAGTTGCATGATATCATATGGGGAGGTCTCCTAGAACAAAACATAAAACACATCATACAACAACATCAGGGCTCAAGATAACGGGGCGTTCAGGCAGTAATCTGAGTGGTGAGTGCATTGGGATGTGGACCAAAATATCGTGATGCTATCACGTTGAGTAGATATGGGTAATGATTGTGCAATCTTTGTTGTAGTAGGACGCCAGTGAGATGTTGATAAATGAATGTACTTGGAACTCGGAGCGGAGAACCAATAGAACTGGGAATATGCATCATCAATTGAGACACCGTATAGAATCAGGGTTCCTCGCGAACCGAACCAAGCCAAAATTCGTTCTGAAAGGTTCAAGTGGATCAGTCTCTGGTCTATCATTGATGCAACTGTGAGTGACACCATGGCGCGCATCCTAACAGAGCATTAAATGAATCCATGAATCTATATCGACGATCCAAACACACACAATATCTCACAGCTCGCCGACTGGTATTAATTCGTGCCGCCCCACCTCGCCAACCTCTCAAAGACGATAGATAAGCACTTGCTCTCAAAACTCCCGCTCTAGTAGCAAAAAATAGCGTCAAACAGCGAGAACGAATTTTGTAACAAGAGACATGCACTACACACAAATTCCTGCTCATTATTCCACTGGCTTCAGCACATGTATTTTCATCTTCACTACATAACCTGATGATCAATACGGTCGAATTACAATCACGGGCAGGAGAATAACTTTCGGGTCCGAAGAGTCGATTGAGTCCCGGTGACTTGAAGCGGTGCAGGGAACACACGAGATTGTAAGGTCTTGAATACCACTGCAAGACCCTAGAAAAGCTATATCACGTATTCGAATCCTTTTGCTTGATTGATTAAACTTTAGCACCACGCCCAAAGACTTCAGAGCCTGGAGATCATATCCACATTCATGCAGCTGTTAGTCTTACGGTATGCATGTTTCGTTTACTCTTGAATTGTAAGCTTGAATACGAGGATTGAAAAATAAGTTACCTGCTGATAATATAGATAAAGGTAATACAATATTGGTATGGCCCTGGGTTCCAAGAAACCAAGATCAGTAATTAGGAATATAAGTTCCTCCTCTGTCAACGACTCAACCTGCATCACCTCATTTAATTATCTGTATGATTCTTTTGCCAAAGAAGAAAAAAGTCACTTTTCGATTGAGGAGTATATATCTCTCTTTCACAATGACCAATTGTCCAGTCCTTCTAGAGCTACACTGGCTGTCGGGTCCTGGCGGTGATGTCATAGACAAGCGCCTCCCTTAGTTATACTATACCACTCGAACTGGGATCAGCTTCCCGGCAAGCTGAACAGCGTAACAGATCGACGCGGCCAAAGCGCACTCCCATTCACGCCACATTACAGCTTGTCGTGCCGGCTGAGCCATATACAAGACCACGCTGACAATCTGAAATGTCGGCCCGAGGGTTATTGATCGACCCAAGCTTAGAAGGGAGTCTTTGATTGCCGCATTATTAACGACAATGGCTATGTTGCATTCATCGTATCTGCACAATCCTAGGCGCTTGCCAAGCGCCTCTTGATAAGGCTATGAATCCTTTCCTTCGACAATTACACGTGATTCTCAATCCATTGATGGATATAAAAGGACTTCAACTCTCCTTCGAAATTCGTTCATCTCAATCAACCATTATACTCTTTGCTTTTCAGTTCCCTACAATTGCACAGAGAGATCTTATTACATTCGGCAAAAATGCAATTGCAAAACATCATCGCTTCTGCGCTCTTCCTCACTAGTGGCGTTATGGCTATCGCCCATGATGCACGTATGTTTAACCGTCCCCCAAGATCTGTCTCTTTTCACTAATCTGTTGATTTTGTCTACTATCAGAGTCTGCATGCAACGGCCATAAGTATGGTCAGAGCTGTGAGTGGGACGATGGAACCCCAGGAACTGGACGACACTCTGGCCGTAAGTAACCTGTGTGATGACCGTAAGCTTTGACTGACCTGAATTGTTCAGACTGCTGGGAGCCATTCAAAGGCATCCTCATTTGCTCATAGAGAGATATATAAGAAGGGGTTTTAAATAGATCTAGATATAGATTATTGTCTAAAGAGGATCTATGTATAGCACCTTACAAAGACTTTACCATCGGACTCTTTCACAGTTCTCTATCTTGAATTCCGAGAGGTGGAACTAACCTTCTCGGCAATCCAGGCTAATCGCTTCAGCATCTTCATCACGGGTGCACGCGCTGTTGGTATCTTCAACAAATGAATAATTAGACAAGAAGATATCAAGGTCAATCTTCAAGGGGTAGAATAGTTCAAGATGATAACCTAGCATGGAACATTGCCTACGTGGTTACTGCCAAGACTGTTACAATCGCCTCTTGGCTGAACTTTGCGGTAATCGCTTTGTATAAGTTCTGGGAGATTTAAGAAGACTAGAGCCCTTGAAAATGACAAAGCAGCTCGTAAGATCTCGGGAGTGATACAGCCAGAGAGGCGGAAACGGGAATATCGTCCGTGGCACATACATAGCTCCTAACATCCCTCACTCCAGTGTCACATTAGCCCTGACAGGAATTTTCAGGGATCTCCATGAATCTTACGTAAGTTTGGCAGAGCCCGAAAAGAGGCTGCCCGACAATGCTGCTCAGGGTATGAGCTCAATAACTCGGAAATCATGGGTCGGATCTCCTGAGTCTCGTGGTTTGTGTTAAACCCGTGAGCCACTGACTAAGTTTGGGCATCAAATGTCTGACCTTGTCCGTGGACTATGAAGACTGAGTTAACTTGGCTGGAACTTTCGTACCCTTTGACACGACCGTCTCTTTCTGCCTGGACAGTGCTCACGACTCCTTTTCATCCCCGATCTATTCATCCATCACCGGAGCTCGAGTCTAGAGCTTGGAGCTGATTGGGCTGTCTTGCGATAGGAAGTCCTGGCAGCGAGGTCTTTGAGGGTGTGCTCGGCCGAAGGTTCACTCAGCAACTGGGTCAGTTATATCACCCCAGTACGACAAGGAGCCGCAGACTTGCAAAGACTGACGTTCAAGTGACAGTGGCAGGCTTGAGAATCTGTCCCAATATGTATAAGACCAAAGGGTTAAGCAGAGGAGAGAGCAAGAAAATATGATACAACGATGGTAACCATCCCGTTGACTACATGTCTAACCCCGAACTCTCTAAGCCTGACTCTAGCCTCGACCCAATGCCCATTTTGACAAGGTCGCATGGCAGACGGAAGGCGCATCTAATTTTGAAATCGTCCTGGTCCCACCATCTACTTCGGTAAGGGTTCGGTTAAGAACAGACTGGAAGGAACAAGCCAATACGCAACTGCAGTTTGCCAGCAAAAGGGCCATCAGGGCAACAGTTTCAGGTGAGGAGCCCGGGTATGGTGATGTCTTGAGGGGATGCTTCTGCCACTTCAAGACAATCTAAATCAAGAACTAATAATGAATACCGACAGAGAGAGTATCGGCGTTGCCATGGTAGTCTAGCCGTTCATATCACAATGCTCCAGACCGTCAACTTGGGCTTCACTGCCTGATCCCCTCAATAAGACAGGGATCATTTACTTTAACACTCAATCATTCTTCAATTAATAGTTCAACATCTCTGATTCTACAATCATGATCTTTACTTGAGAGAGCTTACGCAACCTTTAGTATGTGGAAGAGCCAGTGACACATGCCGGCTCCGTAAGCTTTTCCTCCAACTCGCCTCCTAGTAGCCTAGCCGGTTCACAATCAGCTGGTAATTACACCGCCCATAATACTCAAGACTCCAGGAGGTAACGGAACGTATACAAGCATTGGCAATCTGGCCTTCCTGATTTCCTCGACCGTTGGCATATGTGGCAACTCTTTGTCTAACATTAAGTCCCAGGCCTCGAGGTCTTTGCGTAGGTCGCGATAGGCACCTGCTCGGATCATTTCAACCAACGAGCGAGATGGTGGAGATAATACTTGACCCTGCAACATGCTCACCATCCCCTGCACCATTTCCTCTTGGGCATTGTTATATGTGTCTAGCATCTTCTTGTAGACATCGGCGGGGGAAGAATCTCCGAATGCAGAGGCCGGGGTAAGGATCAGATGGTTGGTGAAATCAGCAAGACAGACTCGGATATCCATTTTCTTGGGGTACCGAGGGCTTAGCCACTTTGAGTTCTCAAAACTGTCAGGTGGCAGTACGATCTTCGTCGAGTGATCAAGGAGCTGACGCAGACTGATACTGGGACTGGGGGCATGTAGGCGGAAATGATCTTGATCGAAGTGAAATGGTATGTTTGCCAGTTTCGCATCTCGAGAACAGCCCGTGTCTCTGAGGTATGAAGCGCCATGGAGGTAGACGCTGCGACTTTCAGGGCAAGCAGAAAGGAACGGGTGTGGCTTGACCTGTGGGACACCATCTTCGTCGCAATAGACGTCAATGATACCTGGTCTGGCCAGGTCCCATATCTTCAGGCGTATCTCGGCTGCAAGCTCAGGGAAGTGGTGGAAAACTGTGTTGCTGTCGTCTAAAGGTCGTTGGACTTGTCCTTGATCTGGGGACATCAAGCGCACTTTCATTGCAGGTCCATAGGTCAAGTAGTTATAGCGGTGGTTGGAAACCTCATCGATGTTAAGTAAACTGTATTCGCGATACTGTATGACTTTTCTCAATTGATGGGAGACTCGGCGACTCACAAGACGACTTGGTTCTGACACCTTCCGTATGTGTTTATTTGTGTTCTTTATCTTTGTACGCCGGGGGCTGAAGCCTCTTGTGACCTGCCACAACTTTATTAAAGACCTCCTTTCTCAGCCGGAAGGATAACCGAAGTTTGCAAAATGAACGCAGGTTCAAGAACAGGGGTCCATGATAAAGGTAGTGGTCTTGAGGTCGAACCAGACAATGAAGTGACAGGTGGAAAGAGTAATTATTTTGAACTCTCCGAAGTTGTTTTATCCAAACATCTGAAATTTGCGATGAAGATAGTGATAGTTTTGTTGATGTCGATAGAGTTATATGCTTCTGGGTATCGACAAGTGTCGTAGGACGGGGTAAAGAGACGAAAAATCACTAATCAATCCTCTAGCATTTGAAGCGTGCGGCCCCTATATTCCTTGGGGATGATCTAGAGCCCTGAATGGAAGTCAACAGGCTTCTAGTCATCCCATGGCAGGAGAAAGTTCCCAAGATCTGGTGTCTTCTGGTCAGGTTGTCTTCAACCAGCTTCTCGCCTAGGAAGATACTCGTTATGCTGTGATATCAACCTCCAGTGTTCGAGCCGGCGAGTGTTGAGCTATCTGGCGCCGTCAGCTGTAATGCGGGTAGACAGAGCAAAGTCATGTTCACCAGTAAGCTACAGATGTGAGAGTTGGAGTAAATTTAGTTCTTAATCTGTATAGAGGATAACCTTATCTTGATTTTCTATGATTCCAAGACAGAGTATTTTCCGTCTTATCATACCCTAGATAGATATCCAGCAGTGTGATGGGAGGATCTCCTGTCAGAAGAGCATATGCCAGAGGAGGATGAATATCACAAAGATCAATTCGCTGTGCTATCGGGATAGAAATGCCGTGATTTGTCTGTTATGTTTAGCACCGTAAGACAATAATGTAAGCCCTTCTTGGTCTCAGCAATCATCTGCTGAAACCTACTTTGCAGATCCAGAGTTGAGCATGGCCTTGGTCTCTGGATTTGGCATCAAACTGCGCTTGGGATATCTTCAAGACATCAGCGTGGCAAACGAGCTCCAGTTGACTACTGTGAGGTGAGCCTTTATATAATCTACGAGTATCGCAATCATGTATCCCGGGTTGTTTACTCGGATATCCTAAGCTATACATAAGGGTAGGTAATAGTCAGGGTATATAGTAATTCAGAATAAGAAACAGAGCTTTTTGAATAAATTAACTTAATCTGATCGAGATAGTGTGAAACAAAACTACCTACTGTCGGTCTGCTTGTCTTAATGCAGCTAACAGCTCCTCATAGTTCTTTCCATTTTTCAAATCACCGGGTATTCTTGTAGTTGTGAGGTCCAAATCAATAACCCGAGCACCTTTACGCAGCAGATAGCCTATAATTTCAAACGAGCCTTCAATAGCTGCTAGCGTCAAGGGAGTATCATCACAATGCAGACCAGGCCTCCCATTAGGATTTGCCCCTTCCCGTATCAATATTCTTACCAAATGACAATTACGACTTCTAATCGCTTCTCGTAATAGTCTGTAGCCACTGTCCTGTGGACTTCCTATGTTTATTCTCGCGCCAGCTCCAATCAGAAGCTCAATAACGTCAACATCTGGCTCAGCAACGGAGAAAGCTTCTAGTAGGGCCGTGTTTTCTTGGTATATAAAGGCACCTTCCTCCTATGTGTTGTCGTTAGCAGATGATCAGAGTAATGGTTAAGTGATCCAGAACCTACGGATAGGAGTTTCCATCCTGGCGCAAGATATGAGGCGTTAACATCAGCGCCCGCGCTTAGGAGAAGTTTTATGATTTCCTTGTCGCCACGAGCACAAGACCTCAGCAGTATGTCAGTATTTCTCGCATTTGCTCCGGCATCGATAAGCAACCGGCAAGCCTGGAGACCTTTCAAGCCGCCCAATTCTGCCGCTGGTTCCAGCGCACTCTGGTATAAACCAGCCGGCGAGTTAGGGTTTGCCCCCTTCTGTAGAAGATACTCCACAACTTTGATGTGGCCTTTCTCAACAGCCTCTAGGAGAGGCAGACTAGCTTTGATATGGCCATTCTTCGAGAGACTTCCATATTCATTAATGTTCACTTCTTCTTCACATAATGCCTTGATGATCTCGAGATGGCCATCATGCGCCGCTCTGCAGCATAGTGAATAGAGCTCCCAGGTCGGAATGTTGGTATTCAACATGCGACGCAGAAGTTTTAAATCACTCTCTTTCATCACATAACTGAGAAGGGCCCGTTGATATTCCTCAATCAGCTCCGTTGATGAAGCGAGGACATGCAAAAGTGCAGAGTGCCTGTTTTGAGTAGCCCAAAGAACAAGGCCTTTATCGATAGTCCGATGATGTTCTTCAGAGACTGGCGACGAAGCTAGTTCATGCCCAAATATCAGCATATTCTTCCATAGACTCCATGTTTGACAATGCTCCTGGTCGAAGTCAACCGAATGTGAGAGCCAATAGGCCGATGCATACGCAAGAAATGGGTGATTGAGAATTATTGTTTCTTGACCAGTTGCATCAGGCGCTCTTGTACATGAAGCAATAGTTGTATCAATATTAGCAGCCAGTCGCTTGTGACCGTGAATTCTCTGAGAGAGTCTCAGGAACCTCGGCCAACTCCACTCATTACTGAGGGCCTGCTGGCAGATCTCATCAGGGGCTATCGGTGGCAGTGGTGGACGAACTCGGGCTAAAGTCGTCTTGAAATCACTGAAGTTCAAGTATGTGACGCAAATGTCTCCAATGTGGCGGTCAGCATCTTGGATGCAAACATGGAAGTTCGACAACGCCTGTCTATCGGGCGCCGTGAGAAAGAATTGTTGAACGCAGGCATGGATAAAATGAACTGTCTTTGTCTCATAGTCGATTTCAATGAGACCCTGGAACCAAGTATCGATAAGATGAATTCGATTTACATATCGATCTCGGATAGTGTATTCTTGGAGTGGACTAATCAGGCAGCATTCTTCCAGTTGTGAAAGCGTTAGAGGCTGCTTTGCTGCGACTATCCACGGAAGAAGTGCTTGAACGATACTATCTTTCTCGTCAGATATCATACGATCTAGAATTCGGTCGAAGATCCCCGTCAGGTTCTTGGGTAGATTTCTTAGAGCAATCGCTTCGCGGATCTTTTCGTTGTTTGGCTGGCTGCAGAGGTGTCTAAGGATAAGAGTCACCCAAAGAATCCTACATGAGTTAGCTTCTACCGTCTGTAGCAAGATATGGGAAACATGCATGCCATCGGCGTGCTTCGCAAGTGTGTTCTTGATTTCGGATATGAGTGTCTGATCGCTGACCAGTAGCTCTTCAGAATCAAGAGACTTTTGCACAGCCTGGTCAACGAGTTGCGCCATGCCATCCTGGGCAAGCGAGCAATTCATAGAAATTTGCTGTATCTTGACCGAAGCTCCCTTGAATATGGAGCTCGTATGATCTCGGCTGGTGATAAACAGCCTGACGTTGGCGCCATCGTCCAGCATTGATCTCCATACCTTCATGAGTACTTGGCGCTCTTCTCTCTGGCACTCATCTATGCCGTCGACTACAACCCATGATGGTGGACCTTTTCTTGATAGTAGATGTGTCAGTAGCCGAGAAAGTTCCGATAGGATATCTCCAGAGGCATTTCGTATGGTCTCCAAAACCTGCTTGGTGCGACCTGAAACATCCTGGACGGTGACCAACTGCCTAACTAGAGCTCGTAGAATAGTTTCAGCTCTCATCGACTCTAAGTCGTCAAAGCGTGAGAAAAAGAACGTTACGTGGCTCTGAGGGTCAGATCTTTCAGTCAAAAGGTAGTCGATTACACTCGCACTGTATTTGTCAGTAGAAACTCGATTCCGCGCTTGTAGGATAAAGCTACACTGAAGATAACTTGAGAACGAAGTAAAAAGGGCACCTTCTGACTGTTCATCTTTAAACTATGCCCGTCACAAGTATACTAGTGGAAAAGCTCTTCGGTCATTGCTCAGAGGGCAAACACCCTCTTGCCATTGTCTGGGTCCCATATCTTCCAGACCATAGGGTTGAGGAGCCACCCGAGAAGTCGCCAGAGAAGAGCATCCAGACCCACATGGGGGCAGTCACAAAAGATTCCTTCGTGCAAAGATGAAAGAAAACATCCTCTTTCAGATGAGGATTCTCTCTTTTGGCACTGAAGAAAGCTTCAAGAAGGGGCATAGCAAGAAGGAATGCAGCAAGAAGGGTATAGCCAGAAGGTCGTGGGATCAAGCTAGGCGGAGGTATTTGCCTCTCCTAGTAAGAAAGCCTCTCAGAATCAAATTCTTGTATACCTACTTACCAGATGATTGACTTTCCCGACCCCACTACGAAGTATTAGAGAGATTAGGGAGTTTACAGGAACAGACATAACTCACTTTTTCCAGAACACCAAAGTAACCCTGATGTAGTCCCATCTGACCAACGTTTGAACTGGTTTGTGCTAAAGATCCATTTTGCTGATTTGGGGTATCGCTTCTGACGGGCCTGTTTCAGAGGTTTGATGTAATCATAAGAAGATAAACAATCTAGAAGCTTTTGTTTATTTTCTCCTTCTATATGTTAGATAATGGCTTATTCTCAAGATAAATACTCACTCTCTAGTTCCTCCTGTTTCATTATCTGTAACCTGTGCATTCTGTCGAAATCATCGCGTGTGCGGGACATAAAGCGACTCAGAGACCGCCTGGACCGGTCGGCTTGTTCATTCTCTAGCCTTTGAAGCTCGTTATTCCGATGCTGGGACTGGTCTGCTGCAAGTCTAATCTCTTTGTTGACATTATTGCTGTTATCACGGAGCTTTTGCAAGTCAGCCTCAAAGACCTGCTGAAATGACTGCCAGAACGACGGGTTGAGTGGATTGAGTGGCGAAGTCCACCCACTCGACCTTTTCGGCATTGCGATGACCCGCTGACAGCACTGGATGATAGAGGCGTTGAAAGTGCACAAGGCATTCTGTAGGCGTTCTGAGGCGGGGAACAGAGCCTGATATTGCTCGAACCTAGGGCATATCCTGCCAAGCTCTATACATAACTCGACAAAGGCTTCATAATAAGACGCGACATTGAGCATGATCTAGTGATAATCAATTTGATGGCATTGTAGATCGTCAGTCGCACCCCTTACCGTCATTGTCATTTTCACGCTTCCCCAAACAAGAGCTGCAATAGTCGGGTTTGATGAAACAAAGGTGTCTATAACAGATGTAAAGCTGTGCACTGCTTGAAGGACGGGAAATAGACGGCTGGCAATACTTTTGCCTCTCTGGTTCTGTCGTCGAAGATCTAGCTCGGCCGTGAATACAAGAACTGCGTCTGTATCCGGTATGGATTGAATATTCTCGAACTCGGCAAGCTGCTCGGGTGTAAGAACAGTCCGGAATGAATCGATGGCATTTTGTAAGATCCGATCCCCCTTTTTAGGTATAGCTGATGAAACCGCTTGTGAGGATTGCGCGAGGTCCATTCCGTCTGTGAAGATAAGAGCAACTTTGGATGGGTGAGAGGGGTTGAAAGACTGTCAGACTTGCTTTTCAACTCCGTTTTCGAATGCGAGGCTAACAGCTGTGATGGAGGGTCGGAAGAAATTATTCCGAATTGAGGCCTGACCTGGCAAATGGTACGTCCCTACAGTACCACCCAGCTCCCGATAGCATGAAGCAAAGAGAAATGAAGACATGACAACCAATAACTCCATGTTAACTCGACTTAATTGCGATTTAATAGCTGGACTTGATCCCTGTCGATTCTGTAATAAGGAAAACGAATACTAGAGATACATCAAGGGCATTCGCATCCGCGAAAACATGGACCGGACCAATAGAGATTGAGGTGACTCTCCATTGTGCATACGAGTCCATTTATGATCAGTTGAAATGTCAAAGTCTAACACGAGTGCAAGGATGTGTTGGATAATATTCGAGGAAATAGGAGCGTAACATGTATCGGCAATGTCTTTTAAGTGAGAACTGTCCAGTAAATATATCAAGAGTATCTTTGGTGGTAGTTTGGAGCGATTAATAAAGTATAGACCATGTCACCTCCGGCTTATCGCAACAATTTTCGCCATTCAATAGGAGCAATGCAGCCGTGCAGATACAGGTGAAGCCCACTAAAATTTAGCCTCTACGCCTTTCCGTCAGACCAGTGGAATCAACTGGCATTGTCACGGGACCAATAAATTTTATCACAAGAGCAGCGTAGGTACCCACTAAAGTGCAGCCCCCATGCCTTTTTCTCGCAGGAGCATAAGTACAGGCTGCAGGGGCTGCAGGGGCTAGAAATATATTATACATTATAGATCGCTACGTACCAGTACCTCTAATTAGAGGGACTTATAGCTAAGTAATAAGTACAGTATAGTAAGAGATACTTATCTTAAGACCTTTAGTAATAAATTAGGATATTATAATAGGTAAAAATAACCTCTTTTTAACCTCTTAGATTTTTAGTAGTAGCCTTTGTACAGTACGGGACTATAATAGTACATTTCTAGCCTGTAGATCTGGGCAAATCTACCAGCCTGTCTATCGCATTAGTTTTAAAGACTCACCCTTCGAGATACAGAAGGGAGAAATTTACTAACGATTAAAGTAACGGGGCAACAATCATCCCCTTCTGCCTCTGCTATGTAACGGCGTCGTCACAGGAGCAAGATTTCTTCGCGTAGGAGCAGTGCAGATACGACCACAATTATGAGGATGCTCACTGAAGCAGACCCCCTATGTTATTCCTAGAGCAAACAATTAACTAATCGCGAGAGCAATTAAAGTACAGGGCCGCTAGTAGCGGCAATGTCGCGGGAGCAATGAATTTGCCCTGGGAGCAAGATAAGGTTCCAGCCCGATATGGAATGGTGAGCGATGCGGGGTAAATCTGGATCTGTTGTTCCGAGTGGGGATATACAACAATGCATATAATTATGTCCAGGTTATACAGTTTGATTATGAATTATTCAACTCCACAATCTTGGAGCGAAGCGCATCGCCGATGCGCTTCGGACCAAAATTCGAAGCTAACGAAAAGAGCCTCAACTCCAACTCCAACACCACAAGTAACGATAAAAATAAACGTATCACACATAAATCTAGTCCTTTCGCACAAATCCTTAATAAAAAATTGATATCCCCATGGATAATATAACCAAGTTGGAATGGATACGCGGTATATGGGGCTGCATAACCTACCCTACAACCTGAGAGAAACAGTGCAATCATGTTCTTTTCCAGACTGACAACCTCGCCCAAACCACCATCAGGCACCCACTAATGTAGCACAGATGAAAACAGTTTTTTATGATCGGGCCGAGAGGTCAGAGCATTAGGCATGGCCTTACACAACCAACGTTCCCCAGTAACTGGCCATGATCGTGTTCAAAGTCTCGTCACCCTAAAAAGAAAGCTGTGTCAACACCGATAAATCAAGACATGGACAAAGGTTCCCAAAAGTCACGATGGCCTATGTACGTTGTTGATGGGACCCAATTGACTGCACTGGCAAGAGAACAGGACGTGTCGCGCTGCTTGGAGATGCGTGTCATCCGACCCTACCATAAGTAATAAGGGGCTGCAATGACTGTCGCGCGGTCAACTCAATGCGAACAAGTTGCTCGCGACTCCAACAGTAAAGTACGTACTTTGCGGAGATGTTAAATCTTCGAGAAAACCTGCACAATGCTTGTGCAGCGAAAAAAGATGCAAGGCTTGGGATACGTACCAGTTGCAGGATGAGTTGATTGGCCCAAGGTACCTGGCTATGGCGGACAATCTATCCTCCAGTGCCGGATTTTCCTCGATCACCGAAGCTCCTTGGCTCTCATATTGGGCTCTGATTCACGGGTAAAAAAGTACCAGTATTCATCCCAAATTGAGGTGATGGATATCACCAAGCGTCTTGACTCAATAAGCCAGGTTAATGGCGACAGTTCAGCGTTCCCGAAAGTGCCGTAAGTTGAGAAACACGTTGGACCGGACCTCTGCCGCATTGAACAGTGGTTTTACTCCTGCCAGTTCTTATCTTCGGAGTCATCTATTGCCCAGCCAATCTGCTAACCCTGTCTCAAGGACCAACCAGCCTGTTGAACAAAATCTACCTCCATCTTCTGAGCTACGTTTTCACTTGCTGCAGGTGACAATCTTCATTGTGCTATCGAGTTCTCACAACACTCCCAGGCCCATGATCGCTTCCCAACCGCCGGCGCGACAGATGCTGCAGACATTGGCCCTCGAAAATAAGGCGCAGATAACTTGCAACTTTCGACTGTGGCCCTGCCTCTGAAAATCACATCACCAGAGTCCACAAGAACATTCCAAGACATCCCGTGCGTCCATGTTGGGGATGTGTGGATCAGTGCACTTGATACACAAGCGCAAGAGGGTTTTGGGACATTGGTGTACGCCACAAGCTTGAATAGATGCCTTCGAAAAGGGGCTGTTGGCTATCGATAACTGGTATTGACTGCCCACCACCTCCCACCGAACAAGAGTCACACTTCTAACAATTCTCGGCAAGTCTTACTCCTAAGAAGCAATTCCAGAGGAGCCTTGCTATCCTAGTGCTCTCACAAAGGGGCCTATAGGGTCAGTGAAAGCTTTTATCGACGAATCAAGTGTGGATGCTGACGGATGTAGACGCAAAGGAACATTTCCCTTCATTACTACGAGCCGAGCCTGTCATAGAGCAACCATCGGGAAATATCTAGCAGTAGATTGGAAGTAACACATCGGCAGTCTCGAAAGCGGCCTCATCGAAATGAGCACCAAAGCTTAACGTACTGTGGAAGTAGTGTTGACAAGTCCAGATGCTGCAGTAAATGCGAAAGCAACTGTAAAGGCAATCACAGAGATCACCAAAGCGTTGATGAAAATGATCGGAGAGATGAAGCATGCAAAGTACCGAAACCAAGCCGACGCCACATTTCTCAGTGCCGACGCCTGGCCATCAACAAGTATACGACGGCCACAAAACCAGGAAGCGTTACGTGTGCAAACGTACAGACACTTAGTGGACCATCGTTTAAAACACCAGGATGATGGGCCCGAAGCCCCAAGTCATAAATAGGTCTCACAATGATAAGGGGAAGCAAAAAATATGGAGAAAGAACCCAGGTTGTGGTGATGTGAGGTTCAAGACGGACACCAAACTGTACATGGTGGCGCTCAGACAGAACCAAGAATTAAAATTGGTGCCATAGTGGGCATGCCGACGTTTGGCGTTCACAACAGCTCGATAAGTAGGGAAAACCTTGACAACGCCACGCGCTAGAACAGAACAGAACAGTCGGCCCAACATCGCCTTCACTATTTACCATCCCATCTCTTTTCCCACAGAGACCCTAAGCACTTCTGCATCTCGTATGCAAAAGTTTTATGCATCTCGAGCAAAACATCGGCAAACAGACCCTCTCAACCATCATTGATTGACTGGCTAACATGTGATAGCCGTTGTACCGCTCCTAGCACCCCTCAGATCAAGCCAACAGGTACAAGCTAGGTGCTCAGGCATTCTCAATACGAGGGATAGATTCACTCGATTGGGTTAGGCTCTCATTTTATCATTCTTTTAGGACATCACGTAAAACCCGCATGACAATAAGGTCATGGGCAACAACGCTTATTTCATTTAGGGCATAGCTTAAAGTATGTCTTTCTACAATAACGAATTGGTTGAGAAGGCTTGTAGCTAATGACCCCTTGCTTGTAAGCCTTTGAAACATATTAGTCATCTCAATATAATCCGTCTTGAGTAAAAATATATATTTACTAGGGCTTTACGGAGTATAACATTAAGAGCTTCTTAACGTTTTACTCGGTTTAGCTAAGAAGTTATATCCTCTGCAGTTAGGGTAATGTAGGAACTAAACCAGGAAGATTCTGTATTATAGCGCACGCCTGTTTTTCTTCTCTTATCTGTCTTATCTCTCTCTTTTTTGACTTTCTCGCCTTTAACTTTGTGGCTTTCCTCCTTTTGACTCACCTGTACTGCCCTTACATAGAACGCCATTCCTTAGTGACAGTAAGTAAAAAGTAGTAATAAAGTTATCTTCTTGCTATACAGTCACCTCTTTGCAAAAACGTTCTTCATAGTTGAGCTAACTTCTTCTCTTTCACTGTTCACTTCTCCTTCGCTACGATGGCTGGCGGTACCTCTCATGATTCTGAGGCCCCAAATACTCGTTCCAACTATGATGGTATCAATCCCAGCAAGACTTGGACTCCAATTGATGAGCATGATGAGCACCTAAAGGAGATCTTTGAGCAGAAGCTCGGTCTAGCCACTGTGGATGTGCTCAAGGTCACTACCACGGGGAAAAGTTCGTACATGAGCTTTATTCTTGACCGTCTGGACTTTCTCGGTATTTAATATTAGTTCATATGTTTTGTCTTTACTGAATCGAGCTTCGCAGACCTCCAGGCCCTGTGTGTCAGTGTCGCAGACATCCCTCAGAGCGAAAAGAGCTTCTGCCAATTGATACCGAAAAAGGCGTGCGGCAAATTGACAGAGATCGATCCTCAAATATATGAAGTAAGGCTGCCACCATGGCCCTGCAATGCATGTTTTTAACAAGTTCTCTTTCTATTTTGCAGCAAACTAAGGAAGCCATGTCCACCATAGCACGATACTGTGGCGACTGGGATCTATGGGAAATGCCAAGTCTGCGTGAGTTGGAATATCATCGCAGAAGCACGTAAATCGACTAACAAGCTCGCATCAGTGAGCTCGGCCTCCCGAACAATCGCCTACTGCAAATACGCGTTAATCGAACTAGCGCAAGAAAAATACAGCTACAGTCTAAAACAGACTCTGAAAGTTATTATGCAAAATAAATATAAGGAGAAGGAGTCCTGGGATTGCGAATTTTACAACGCTCTTTATATAACAAGAAGAAAGTTAAAGGCTCTGCATGAAGCCGCATCAGGCCGAATGCGTCAATTCGATTTGACTTATCAAGCTCTCGATCTAGTAAGACAAACAGAGATTTCCTTTCTCTTCTTTTTTCTCTTTTCTTATGTGATCTAAGCTCAATAATTACTGGCTGACAAGAATTCAGATAAAACTCAAGGTGATGTGTTCCGAGAAGAGCGTCGAGTTCCTTCGAAAGCATTACATGGATGGCCCAAGTCAAAGCCCTACTGATGAAAGCGCCACGCAACCATACGCATATATTCTCAATCCCGACCTCCAGAAAAGCATCGACGATGCAATTAAGCCCCTTATGCAATTTCGAAACCACGAGCTTAAGCGACAAGAAAGCTCGAGTAGTGACCTCCTGTGCTGGTGGATTGCGCCAGTTGGTATCGTCTGGATGCCAGGCTCAGTCATCGAGCAAAAAGACCTTATGAAGAAGATTGAAAGGCTCCAGCACGACATAGCGCGAGCAAGAACTGGCCAAAAAGAAACAACAGTTCTACTGGAAAATGTCAATTTATTAACAATCCAGTTCGAAAATATCCGCCGAAAGATAGACATTGCCTTAGAGGCGTTGTTACAGCTGAAGGATTTCTTCCGGAGTCAATATGAGACTTATGAGAGTCTCACACTCTACCTTGCATTCCTGGAAGAATACCCAAATAGGCAGGCAAAACTGAGTCGCCGTCGAAGCTTTATTATGCAGGCTTTGAGGCATTTAACTAGAAACCTCGAGCAGGTACGTATTTCTCCTGGAATGATAGGCCCTTTCTGCTAATATCTGCACCATAGCTCGTAGCAGCGGCTGAGGAATTCAATGAGACCGTAGTCCGAGAGACGAACTTGGATATCTGGAAACTTCATGCGTATAAGAATTGGGAGGCAGATATGGAGACCTCTTGTAGCAAATTTTAGCCGGGTTTAAACTCTTCTTCTTCTGCTTCTTCTTCTTCTTCTGCTTTCAATGTAAATTAGCTTATTGCTATTACCTATGTAAGTAAATGGAGCCCATCAATTGCTCACTTTCCTCTCTGCCAGTTCTCGTTGTAGCGCTTCCAGAGCGTGTATGGCTTCTTCTATTCAACGTGAATCAAGAGCTCGACTTTCTCCAGGGCTCTTCTACAGCCTGACAACAGAAAGGCGAGGATCTCTATAACTCTTGATAGATCTCATAATCGCAACAGGTCTTATTCAGTATAACTTCGGTGAATCTATAGGCCGTGAGGATCCCTCTGTTCATATCATTGCCTGTAATAAGTTTCTATTTTTGAGATTGTTCTGCAAAGGCTACGGGTACATGATAGGCGTCGAATATTCCGAGGTGAGACCTCTATAACGGGAGTAAACGCTTTTGATCCATACTGTAATGTTGTTTCCTGGAATACTAATATCGGCCAGAGAGTTGATAATGTTACTAAGCTCTATTAATATCTGTTTCGTATACCCATTGCTATTTGAAATGTCGATAAGTGCCCCTGTAAGTTGAATATGTGAGTGGAAGGCTGAGTCTTTTTCTCCTTTGGTGTTATTCGACTTATCTTTGGAATCCCAGTCCTTATCTACAGATTTTGGAATGCCCCCAGGAGTCTTAAAGTTTCTTAAATGATCTTGCTGGCAGAACTAACAACAAAAGGTCTTCATAACATTCATAACCTGGGTAATTAGATGCAAATCCTTATTTATAAAGATCGTACTTCCATTATAGTTAGCTGATAATACTAACCTGACGTGGCCCTAGAACTGCCTAGCAATCTGGCTAAGAAATGTACACTGTTGTCCATGATTCTGCCAGGCAATCCTAGCTTATCCGGCTCTTTATTACAGCTCTTTGGCTTTTAGTCAATTTCTGCCATTATCTTAAGAAACTCCCTAGTAGTAATATCTAATAATAAGGCCCGCAGCTACTCCTTCACGCTTAGATACCTACTCTGTCATGCAGGAGCTGATTTTAAGAGGTACTTTACAATTCTATCTAAGTTCATACCGTTCAACTTTTATATCATCATTAGCGCGATTGTGAAGGATAGAGTAGCCCAGGGTGGGTTGCCTTCTCTTCCTTTGGAGAATATCGCAACTTTAGTCTTAGGCACCCTCTTTAGTGGCCAAATTGGGCTTTGTGTGAATACCAAGGGTTTCTTCATCCTTATCAAACTCTTCGGCGATTTTCAGGATCTCTTGGGTGGCAATGTCAACATTACTCGGCAAAACACCTAAGATAATCCTATGCACGTCTTTAATGTACCTTCAGATGAGATTATTCACCTTTTCAACATTATTTTTTGTTTTCCTATTACCTGCAGCGCGGAAAATCCAGAGATATCAATGACAGTGAAAAGTTCCTCCTTGGGACCTTTAATTCCCACTTTCAGAACGTTTTCACTGGAAATATCACCTCGACCTTTTGGCAGTTAGCCGTACGAGGAACGAGACTCGGCACGACGGAAAGTTTCGGGATGCTTTCGATGGTCCTCAGAAGTATTAGGGCTTGGAATAAAGCTAATGTTCACTGACTCAACAATCTTAAAGTATGACCAACACACAAGTACTGCTCATACAACTGACTTTTCCATTGATCAAAATTGAGCTCAATCCGACAGTGTGGCGTTAGGCATCTTGTTCCAGTACATCATTCTCCCGCTGACTTACCCTATTGGTTCTGTTTGGGGTTCATTAATAACTCAGAGATCCTATCCGCGCACTTGGACTAGCAGTTGAATCAGATGGACAGAAACAACAGTTACCTAGCCATGGTTCTGACGCTGTCTTTCTGACATAGATTTCTTGTACTAGAGAATATCCGTTGCCCGCTTTATTATGACCTTGATGAACAGAGAACCCACGCATCGAGTTCCTACATCGGTGGGTGTCTCTCTAGCCAATGACCAAATGCTAAATCGGAACTTTCAGGTCCATCGCCGACTTCTGATGCTCTTTTTCAATCAGATACTTACAAACCGATAAGTTTTTGTTCCGTTGCGGGAATCCCGGAGGTCAGAAACCAGAACGGCGGCTTCTCCACTGAATTGCTCGTGTTAGACGTTATATACCCGGGCTATTCTGATTATCATTTACATAGCCAATGATAAGCTTACTGCTTTTTTTAATTCCCCAAAAAAGCGAAGGGAATATCTATGATTTCGCTTGACGTGTATTGAACGATGCTGTGCTAGTTTGTCAAGTCAAAGCTGGTGCCCAGGTCAATCAACAGGACTCGGCAGTTGCCCGAGTTCTTGATCTAGGGTACATTCTTCGCAGCCCTACTTTTTGAACTCCGGACCTCGGAACTCCGATTGTGAAACTGGGTCTTCGAGTGCTCCAAAAATGGACTATAACGAATAATTGGATTACCATGATTAGTATGATGGATGCTAGGTAAGATAGCGAACATCCTTAGTTTTATTGTTCATCTCCATTGCCCTGCCATCATACGGCTGCCTTATCGACGTCATAGCGAGCACTCATCGAGACTCGGACAGGAAGTGTTCCAACCTGCTAACTGGCATATGAAGCGTTTTCCCGGCGTCGCTCCTCCGCTGTAGCTGCAGCCCTGTCGGTCCGACGATGCGGAGTCGTCAGAGTGGTGCAACACATTCTGTATCGCGACAATAAGCTCAAAGATGTATAGGTAGCTGGCAATACCCGGTTTAAGCAACCGGAAACCGCTTCTCTCTATCACGTGGCCAGTACTGCAGGATAAATTCACGAACAGGCTGTTGAATGGGGATAAGTGGCTAAAGAGGCGATAGTAAAGGCGAATCGCGATGGTGCGCGTGCTGAGGACAGTAATCCCGCATCCAGATCTCGAAGATAAAGCACTCTGGCAGTAAGTATTTTTACCACTCAGACAGACAGCGTTATTGGCCGCGCCATCACAGCATTCCTTTATTCTTATGTAAAGTTTGCTAATCTCCATAATCTTCGACACCGCCCCCCATACTTCCGACACACCTCTACGAAGCATTCGTCGATATCTACAACGATTCCCAATAAGTCGACAACCAAATCCTCACTACCAAGGCGACAAAAGCCATCGATGGTTCATGTAAACTACAAAGACGGTATCACCGGTAGCTCTATTGTTCGAGACTGTATCGGCCAAGACCGTGCCGCTACAATACGCGACGAATATTCTCGAGTTCCACGTACTTACCTTCAGGTTCACAGAGCTTCACGCTCTGCTTGCCACTACCTTGGAAAACTCTACGAGTCGAGTCCAGCCGTCAGCAAGAGTAACATGAGAAAGTTAGACCCGTTGATTGGGTACAGCCGAGCTCACGACGGGGCCTAAGCTTCTCCCACTTGGTTCCAGACCTTCCCATCGCACTGATTCCTTGCGTTTCGATCGTTCAAGTGGAAGGCTGCCTCATTGAAAGTTGGTGTTGAAGTATGCTCAGCCCTGACACACAGCACCAGGCCGGCTTCCTTGGACTGAGCCCGCGGTCAAGTCTCGACTCAGCGGGTCGCCAATGCTCAACCGACGAGTTACCTTGCGTAAGACACCCGACGTCTGTTGCTAGTTGACCTACGGAGTAGATGGCTAGGTCTCTCTCAGTAATGGTCAGTTCCAGTTCAAGACATTGCCAAGCCGCGTGGACTTTTCCCCTGCTCAGCCATTCTCTCCTCGTCGCCAATCATCCCAACCTGAAGGCTTATAGAAGAACCTCGTCCGTCAATACCACAACGCCCAGTATGACCCATGGAACTGAGCCCTACGAGCACGGCTGGGACACAGGCGACCGGTTGTTGAATGGAAAGCATGTATTCACCCAGTACCAGGACCCGATACTTCACGGCGCCATTACTTCGTTGGTTGAACCACCCTCCCTCCCATATACCTTTTTCGACGTCAACCAAGTCGGAGACTAGCCCATGATCTGCCTTTTCAGTACCTACCCGTAGGGTCGCTGCTGGCCAGCAGGTATCCTGTTCTAAGGACATAGCACCCAAAAAACAACTACAGTTACTAGTTGGGGGAAAGAGTATCAGATCGCAGACAGAAGCTGTCAAGTCAGTGAGCTGAGAATGAAAACAGAGAGACAGAGGCTAGGAGACCTTAGGGAGTCTGTGCGAAGAAGCGAATGCCAATTCGACTTTGACACAAGAGCAAGCTTCATCCGGTAAGAAAGCCAATTGTCCAACAAATCAGTCTCTCAGGCTCCTCCCAAATCTGCAACACCGACCAGCTTCTTCGACTCCAGCACATCTGGAGTCTACCAGCATCACAGATAACACGAACCTCTTGCCACGCCTCTTGGCCTAACTGATATGCTTCTTCTCTTCCTGCAAATCATCCTTCGGTATAACTTGTGTAAAGCGCATGCCCACCTCTAATTCGAATATTACATTTCATAATCCACGCCTGGTCTCGATGATCACCTGAACTCCCGCCTGAAACTAGCACCACTGGCCGGCAGTTCATGGAGCTACAATCGCGTGCTAACATGAGCGCTTCGCTCGTGCGACATGTGCTCTGTAGCGCCCTCGTCGATTATCCAACATCAACTGGTCTAAGGCGCCGTAGCCAAGTGCGATTAGTAACTCGCCGCCATTCAGCCTCTCTCTGGTGATCTAGAGTAATCGGGAATACCGCGAGATGAAAAGTGGCTAGGGGCACAAGGCCGAGCTTGCAAACAGGCCTTTTATGACTGCCTTTCACCTACTGTTCGAGATTTCTTAACGCCACCTCGTACTGCTCCTCCTCACCTGTAATTTTCTATTCCATCTACTTCGGTAGATCCCGGGTAGGTGCTTGACCAGTCAACACATTATCCCCCCCGTCCCTTGATACCATCTCATGATCCCAACCCAACAGGCTCTCTCCAATTTGTTTCCATAGATTAACAAACTCAATGGAGGACGCTCTCCCACTGGGTGCTTCCCATTTGTCAGCAATATCTTTCCATTGGTTCCCACTTGTGTCTGGCTCAGCTGGTTGAAAGGTGGGTATTGTTTGCACGGGGTCTGGGAATTCTACTGTATCCGCATTCTCAACAGCCATTTTGATGTAGTTGAATGGCTTTGTAGTGTCCCCGATCGATAATTGCAAGTCAGGATAAGAAATGTTCACACCAGTCATAAAGGAAGTTGTGCCATCTTTTGTGCCGCCCAGGAGGTCTTTATCATTGCGATTGGTTGATGGATCTGCTGCTGGATCATCTGAATACTAGTAGTGTTAGTTAAGCTTCCTGACTTGTGACATTTGCTACTTACAGGTTCCCCAAAGCCCATTGGGTAGACTTTTCGTAATCTCTGTATCGTTATTCTACACCTGTACGAGTTTGGCCAAGTCCGCATGTGTCTGGAGTAGGGTAGTCTTCTGCGCAGGAGCGTGCGGGTAATTGTAGCAATAAGACTAGATTTCACATTGCTTTCCTGCATTGGCTTCGCGTGAAGGGCATTCTTGGTCCCTGAAATCAGTTTGGACGGCCCCGGGCTGCCGGAGAGAACGCCAATCTAGACTGTGATGGAGTCGACGGCGAACTTGCATGAGAGCATAAATGAAAAGGTAGAAGGCGAACTTGCCACACGCCACCACTAGGCTGTGAGGTACTGGTGCCCCCGGGTACAAGACCATTGGTGACGGAGAAGACGTGCAAGTCGCCGTTCTCAACAGGAGTTGGGTCATTGCCCCAAGCATTGATAGGTGTCTGAGCGGTAATGGTTGTGACGGCACTTTGCAGTGGCTGAGAAAGTGAGCAAAAAAGTTCGATAAACTCATCCAGGGTCAGCGCGGGGTACGGGTTGCTCTGTGGTCCGAAACCGATATCGAAGCCAAACACCCAGAAGTTTACGTGAACAGTACCGTGAATGGGCGGACCCTCGATAAAAAGTTGGCATGCGATTTCTACACTGTTGTTCAAGGTCACAAGCCAAATATCGAGTGTATAGCGTACACCCACTGAGATGCCTCCTTCGGCGATGAAGTGGAATGGCTTGAAGTTGATGAGAAAGTCTATATAGGAATCGAGGAAAGCTGACAAGGGCCCCAATGTGAGGGTAACATCAAGTCGGCCACCTCCCATGCAGACCTTGGGCGTTATAGCAAAATAAGATAAGCCGGATATGGAGATATCGTCATTGAACTGCCAGCTGATACCAAGGCGAGGTGGGTTGGGGTACTGAGGTGGAACTTTGTATTGCTGATGATAACCTCCTAGTGTGAAAACCCAGTCTCCAACAAGAGACGGATCGGCATTTCCAAACCATGAGTATAGGGCAAAGCCACCAACAAGATGGCAATTTGGGTCGAGGATGTACGAAGAAGGTGAGCTGACCATGGATCTTCATGGTACCCGCTCTGAAGTCCACGGAAGCAGCAATTCCAAGCTGAACATGAGCAAATGTAGTTCCCACTCTATCTATGGCCGAAGGGATATCTGCTGTTGCAAGGCTGAAAAGTCCTAGCTTTAATGATGGGTCCTATTTAACAATAGCAATAGCTTGTATGCTGAGGAGTCTAAATGCCGTTACGGTTAGACCGGCGGCGACCCAGAGATAATCCTGCTGCGGGAAGAACTAGCCGGTACCGGTAGGTTTGGCTAGGTCATCTTGTGGTGAGCCAGTTGAAGGCGGAGGTGTAATAAATGGGATCTGCGGGACTGCTGCTGCACTGGGAGCTCTCAGATTGGTATTGTAGCCGAAACCGCCAGTAATGCCCGTGAGCTGGGTGAATTCTAGAGTAACTAACGGTCCGGTGAGTAAGACATAAACAAAAGCGGTGGTGTAAGATAGGTCCGACATAGTTCCATAAAATCCAGCCGCAGCAAACATCCATGGTTTGTAAGCTATGCTGACTCCGCCTTGGTATCCGTGAACACCGGGTTTGTTGAGAGCTTCAAAAGCGCCAGCCATCAACAAAGGTGGACGGTCGAAAGCGGCAGCCATTCCGTCAATTGAGAAGGAAATCATGTCGATATTGATGTTACTGAGAGTTCCACCGTCTTTGGAGAAGTCCACCTGAATACATGTCCCAAGGAGTGAAAAGGCGACCGGGCCTAGACTGATCGAGGCATCCAATTTGATGGAAAGGATAGACTTGGAGTAGCTGAGCCCAATGTTGCGAACTGATAAGCCGCCAACTGTCTTCTGGTATGCTGCCATACCAGAGTCGGTCCCCTCAGAGGAATCGCCACTGTCCCCACCTGCCTGATCACCAGACAAAATGATACTTTGAATGACAGGTGCAATGGCGCTCTGGATACTGGCATCGAAGAATTGGTAGAGCGCCGAGGCCCAAAGATTACTTATAGATTCAGTCAAAGTCCAGCCAGCTGCCGAGTAGTCAATTGTACCGAGAATCTGCGTAGGACCTGCAAAATCTGGATCGGCAAGAGGGTTGGTTCGGAGAAATACATGTACCGTAGTGGCGCAGCGACTTCAGATCTATCCTCGCTGCCGAATTGATAAGACATTGCCAAGTTGATTTCGTTCAGGGATATCATTGGGACAGGTGCCGACGGGAGTTGATTGGCCCTCATAACAGCCATGAAGGCTACCCCTCCTGATCCAACCAAGAGCTTGAGTTGGGTGACTAGTGTGGGAATTTCCCTTGCAAGACCCCCGAATCCGTTGAGCTTGGTTAGGTCAAGGAACTGTGGCAAGGCCTTCCAACTCGTCCAATCCTTCACTATAAGCGGCTTGAGGTATTGGTAATTCTCATAGTCTGGCAAGAGTCGAAGAGTTGGATCTTCCGGGTTAAAGAAAATAATTAATTACAGACTATTAATCCAAGGTAATGGACTTTTGTTACACATGCCTATTTATTACATATGCTTACTATATACAGTAAGCCTAAGTTATTTATCTATATTATAGGCTAAGTGGAATAATCTCCCAGTTAGCATCGCCAGCATTAGTAAACTCAAACGATTTTGCCTGCCGTCTAAAGCGAGTATGTTAGCTTGAGTATCACTACTGACTCAATATCAGATGCAAATACGTACCCGTTCTCGGCCCATCCATGCACCAATTCAATGCATAAGTTTGACCATTGAGCGTTCCTCAACCTGTATGTTTCATCAGCTTCGCCGTTCGCGCGACACCTCGGCACTCCTCTACTTACACCCATGTAGTGTTGGAATCAGCAGATCCCCGGCCAATGAACCAGTGCGCTGCCTTATCGTGTATGTCGGAATCGCCCTTCCTCCTGCAACGGACCTGCCAATCGACTTCTCCATTGAGGAATACAAGTAAATCTGTGATGAAAAGTAAGTCGTCGTCCAACTTTGTGATAAGGGATAGCTTACTGCCGGTGGCCTTGTGCTTGATTGTCCAAGGCGTGGTGGGTTTGTCGTCGGCCTTTTCAAGTTGAAAGATCTCGTCCTCGTTATGCATGTCGAAGGCCCAGGCGTGCGCCTTGCTGTAATTGTCTGCGACATATCAGTTCTTGTGGGAAAATATTCAATACTGGAAAACATACCGTTGTTGGCATTCAAGGCCATCCTGCTGTGCGGCATCATGATCATGACAGTCCAGCCACTGTAACTATATGGCAGACAGTTATCCAGTCGGCTTTCTTCAGCTAGTCCCGCCCACTTCAAAATGTCCGTCATTTTCGAAATTCTGCCCTTAGCGTCACCGTTGTCCGTTTCAAGGCCGTTCTTTTCTTTCTCCAACTTCGCCTTGTCAGCTACCCAAGAGGTTTTCTGATTCTCCAATGAGTCGTATTCAGCCTTCAGAGTGTTGTAATCAGTTTTCTTCTCACTTAGCTCAGCTGTCAAAGAGGCATTCAATCGTTTCAAAGCTTCGCTGTCGGTGGTCAAGGTGGATTCTTCCGCTGTCAAATCGCTCAGTTGCTTTTTCAAGCTTTCGTAATTCCCTCTGAGAGCATTGTATGCAGCGTCCTTTTCCTTTTCTAGCTTCTCAAGGGCTGCTTTCTTATCACTCTGCATTCTTTCAGTGATATCAGCGCAGAAAGACTGGAGCTGTACGGACAAGTCTTCGTGCTTTTTCTGCAAACTGGCATATTTTTGTTGTTCCTCACTTTTCACAGCATTGACAGCATCCAGCTTTTTTTTCTCAAGACGCCGAAGCCTTTCCTCAACTTCATTATGCTGTTCTTGCCTGAGGGTATTATAATCCGCGTGTTTCTTGTTAATATTCTCGAGGTCTTCGTTGTGTTTCGTTTTCAGGGCCTCTAACTCGCTGGCCCTGTCAGATTTAAGTTTGACGTGTTCTTCCGTCTTGGCTTCCAAGTCTCGAGTGACAGCATTGAGCTTCGCCTGTAAAACGGAAACATAGTTGCTATTCTGCAAAGTGTTAATAAGATATATCTAGAGTGACAAAACTTGGCCAGTAAGAGACTTACGCTGTTACCCGACTCTCCGGTCTGAGAAGACCCATGCCAATTCTGATCATCTGAAGGCGGAGGGCGTATTCCCGAAATAACATCAGTAGAAGAAGTCGAAGTGATAGCTTTCTTGCTGGTTGATGAAGTGGAGGAAGTGGGCTTTCGAACTGGCATCCATTTTCTCCAAACCTCAGCTGGTATCAGAGCAGAAAAGTCAAAATGCTCATGGCCCGGCGTAGGGTCCTTGGGGTCCGTTGGATCTGACCTGGTGGCCGAGTGACCTGCAACTCTGCCCAAAATTCGATTCACTACCTTATTGGCCTGAGTATTTCCCCATCCACCCTGACGGGAGAGGATTCCTGGATCACGGCTAAGGATAGAAATGGCTTCTATAATCTTACTTTGCTCTTTACGCATAGCGGAGCGAATACCCAGGAGCGTTTCAATGGATGTGTCCAAGGAGTCTTGATCACCAGAAGCCTGATAGTTATCAGGATCATCGATAGTGAGCTGAACATACTTGAGGAGTATTTTGTAGTCCATATAGCTGTCGAACAGCTCCGCGGTATAGCTACTGACTTGGTCATATTCGAGAGTCTTGACAGGCTTGTTGTTGGCCCACTCAAGGAATGATCTGTTTGATTTATACTTTGTCAAGATGGCCCAAGTGAGCTGAGGGCGCTCGGACACCCTCTGAGGGAAGGCGGCTGCGGCTTTGAAGATGGAATCAATATCCCATGGCGTATTCTCTGGGAGGTTTGTTAGAAGCAAAATCATGGCGAAGAAGGGTGAGCAGACAAACCGTTCTTGATCTGGCCACCGCCCATCCAAGATACGTGAATGTGACTCTCAGTGTTTTCCATTACAGAAGCAGTTCCCCTAGAAGAGAAAGAATCGCTACTGTTGAGAATAAACTCAGTAGGCTTGCTGCTCTCTTTCGCATCAAGCCGGGCTTTGATCTTCTTGACTGTCAGATCAACATTGCTTCGATCAATGACTTTGATCGAGATGATTCCGGTGAATTCTCCGCCCTTTATGAATCCCGAGATATAAGAATCACCATATGCTTCATTGAACGCTTGAGATGAAGGGTCAATGCCCTTCATTGGAACAAATCTAGCGTTGTTCTTGATCAGAGTCGTCTGATTTGTTACCTTGACTGTTACGATAATGTTGAGGTCAGCGGATTTAAAGAGTGCTTCGTCAATGGCTGAGTTGGAGCCGCTGACAGTCACGTTGCCCTTCTTGATGGAATGAGGGTACGAGACGTTCATCGTCTGAATAATGTCGCTAAGTTTCTCAACAGCCCTGGCGGAGTACGAAACTACCTGTCCTGGGTCAGAGATAACTTGTGTTATTAGATGATGATCGACTTACCTGCGATGGCCCCTCGATAGTACGGGTTTGGGTGCTTTCCTTGTGTTCACCGTCCGTCTCAACGGCAACTGCTCCCTTGATACAGATTTCATGAGCTGCAATACGATTAGCACTGCAATAGGTCAGCGAGTTCAAGAGAGAAACGCTTACTGTACGAGTTGAAGCTGTCGAATGGGTTAGCAATAGACCTACACTCAATTCAGTCAATACATACCCTTGCCCAATACGCATGGCATCATACCGCAAAGGATATTCTCGTTGAAGATTGCATATTCCGGCTCGATGTAGTCAAGCACCATGGCCGTGGTGATGTCGATGACTACTTGCTACGCGGAGTGAGCCAGCATGCAACCTTCCCTGACGTCATTAAAAGAGAAGCACTCGAGAAGAAAGTGGAACAAGAGGAAAAGGAACGTAGAGAACGAGAAGAGGCTGAGAAGAAAGCCAAGGAGGAAGAAGAACGAGAGAGTGAGAGTGCAGGCGAATTCTTGGTAAGTTCAATGACCCATAAGTTACATTTTCTCAACACTAATATCATTAACAGATAAACGCTGTATTCCCGATTACAACGCTATTCTAGATATTTTCGTAGTTTCTCGTTAAGTACTTAGTCAGCCTCTAGGCCAAAGACCGCCGTTGAATAACAATTTTAAATACTCTTTTTTCTTTTTCTTTTTTTTTCTTTTTCTTTTTCTTCTTTTTCTGCCCCTTGTCCTTGTCTTTTTGCTTTCGCATGCGCGTGGCCTAAGGCATTATTATAGACTAATAAAGATTCCTGCCCTTTAATTGGTTATATAATCATCTTATCCTATAAGCAAACTGAAGACAATGGCTGTGATGCTATGTACACTTGAGCGAGTTCGCAAAGAATTTCCAGGGTAGGGAGTAGCCCAACTGACCAGCAGATTGCCATGCTGAGCGAGCGCGTTCCGAGCCATCAAGATGAACGCTCATCAGCTTCTTGCTCATGATTGGAACGTTAGATATCGTCATAGAGGCAGTTCCAGGTAGTTCACCAACGGTCTAAAATGAGTGCATCCCATCAAACCAAAGCCATGGTCTCGTAGTGGCTTTGTATTGTAGAAAGGCGACAAGAACCAACTTTAGTGGCTTATGCAGTCAAATTGAACCATAAATGTTGATATCGTCACAATGATGAAAGGAACATAAGTATGCTAGCAACAGATAATCGGATGGTTTGAATAGAAGTGGCACGGCTTGATGTTATGGGTGATTTGCAGGCAAACTTGGTCGCAGTAGCAATACCTACAGGTACAACAGATCATGAAGCCTTCTGTAAGTAACGGGAGTCTATTCCAACCAAGCCGACCGTTGGTGGTTGCTGCTAGCCATTCATTATTTGGCCGGCCGAGATGAGAGATATGATATATCTTTAGTGAAAGGCAGGAATACACAAATCACAGATGGCGAGACATGGAGAGTTATTGTTGCGTAGAAATAATTATCCGATCTATTACTAACTATGAGATCAAGAGATCAAGGCGAGATGCAACGGCACGAGTTGGCGATGCATGCCCTTTATATGTAGTAATTTGCTCGGTTCCAATACAGACAGCTACTAGCAAACATTACAATGTACGCAGGAATATCGAAAGCGAGACAGATGTCGCCAAAGGCATATACTAACAGGCCTTCTCAAGTCAGGGGCATCTAGGTTGGCTGGGATTTTGCCGTAGCCCAGTGAATTCCCATCAGTTCTGGGTTTACCAACGATTCCCAAGTCCCACCTGAAGTGCCCAAAGGCATCTAGTCGGAGCCAGGTCTAGTGAAAATTCTGAAGGCTGGCTCGGGGTTCACTTAGACTCCGTGTATCTCGATTGGTATTCTTGCAGTATGCTTCCCTAGCAGAGTAATCGAGCCGCCATTCCGCAGGATCAAGTCCGCTACCCATTATCGACTGATACCAACGTATCTCAAAGGCCATGCTTACTACACAAGGGAGCATATAATATCGAGAATACAGAGTAGTTTGGACGTAGTTTGGATGGTAATCTTGGAGCAAAGCTAGGCGAAGAGGCATTGTGCAATACATTTATTTGAGACATTGGGGTACAGAATTGGCTGCATGATCCGAGATGGCTACGACCAAGGTTCGCAGAGGTAGAACGACATGCTTATCTTGGAGATTGGCATTACGGCAGTTATCGTAAACGTTGCGGCGGCAAGGGTCAGTGTGGTTACGGGAGTCATCGCTATGCTAGCAGAAGTGTCAGCGGAGAGGTTGATGCAGGGTTCGTTGATAGAACGATGAACTCAGTCACCCTGCCTCCGGCCATGACATGGCCAGCAGAAGGAAAAACCCCGCCAGCTGGAGTCAACGGGCAAGGCAGCCTCGAGGTTCTCGTGACTGGTTGCTCTATCAATGATGCTCTTACTGGGGAGTGAATGAGCTGTCACGAGGTTTATTAAGTTATCTTCGAATTTGAGCTTGCCACCCGCCATCAGTGCGATACGCGCGTGGTTGGTAGGCTGGAGTAAAATGGCCGTGTCCATAGAATTCACTTGCCCAGGGTACGTATTTCTCCTCAGAAGTGGCCAAGTTACGATGAAGACGGGTTTCCTTGAGGTTAGAATGGCTGAGAAACCAGAAGGCGGTCCTCTTCGCTGCCAAGAGGGTCCACATTGTCCATATTGGCAAGGATAACTCCCATAGGTGAAGCGAGGCGCGTAACGTCTTTATACATTCGGAACGGCCCGTGATTGATCCCGTATAGAGATTCCGAGGCGACGTCGAGTCCACCTTTGGCATACGTCAATGAGCCAGGAACATCCAAGGCCGCACTTAGGTACAGCAATGGGTAAATGGCTGCGAGAAGCCGACGGGAAGTCGCTTAAGTGGAATGATGTCGAAGGCAGGCGATATAACAGAAGGCGTGACAGTATACCTGTGCACAAGACGCAGGAGACGGTCAACGTCGATTTGCTGGGAATTGGGATGAACAAATATCGAGGATTGTCTTCGGTGGCTTGACGTGGTTTCGAGAGGAGACCGAAGGCAGGGAAGAAAGACGAGAGAGGACGCAATACAGTTCATCTGCCCCTGATGCTAACGAACGTCCTCGTCTTCTTTATAGCCGTCTCTTTCAATGCTAGTCTCTCTTTTCGCCTGGGGTTCCTTGACTGGCTTGTGATCGATCGTAGGAGATATAATGCTTGTGGAGGGGGGCAAGGGCACCAGAGAGAAGAGTTCGCGGGATGAAGGCCAAGCAGTGTCTTGGCCATTCTATTGCGGTCCTCAACAGTAGCATCGATGGGAGCTTGAGGAAACTCAACAAAGATGTCTACAGCATGTCGCTCAGCGTCAGCCATCTTCGAGAGTACAGAGAGCTTAGTAAAACTCGAGGTGTCTACCAATTTGATGAGCTAGCACGCTTGCCTTGCTTATTGGACAATTATGCGTCAACTCCTGCTCCTCCCCTGATGTTGAGCAGAGCACTTTGGGTGGCGTGATGCTGACTGAGAGAGGATACAGTGCTTGCGAGGATAGTCAGATTCTGACTTGGTCGTCGAAGAGGGCGATGTAGCTAAGGCATAGTAGCCGGCGCAAGAGATGAATGGAGTGCAAGACCGTTGGTTTGATGATTGCGATCCGGACCTGCATTGTCGGTAGCAACGCTGGTCGCGAAGTCTTGGAGGGATTTGGCGGTGCAAGTGAGAGATCAGGCCAGTCAATTCGCGACTTGTCGCAGCGAAGGATGATCGCCAAATGTGTGCTGTCGGTACCGGCCTTGTATGCTGCGTTTGGTTCCTCGCTTCTCATCATCAGGCTTGCTTATCCTGAGATACGCGATCTCTAGCGCTTCAAGAATATATATATCGCTCGCGAATATCGGTGGGACTGCGTTGGCTGCTGGCTCCAGAGAGGTGGACAGAAAGCAGGCCTGGCCAGAGCCAGATTGTTGGACTATCGGAACAAAGGTATGTATACAATCGGCCGGTCGAGCGGTTAACATGGCAACAAATCAAGTCGGTAGCGAAAACGCGCTGAGCGAAGCTTCGAAGAGCAATTAAGGGACGTTGGCGAGATCGAGGATGGCGGTAAATAGATGGGTTCTCTCAGTATAGGACAGACAGCCGTCCGGTAGCAATTGTGTTTGCATCATCGTCTCGGGCGGGCGCGTATACGATGCTGGAAAAGGTGCGAATGTTTCGGCGCGTTGGATCGTACGGTAGGTCAATCTACAGTCGTCGACTTTGGTGTAGAGTCTGTAGCAGCCATGGCGTTACCGTGGATGAATTGAATTGGCGATACCGACGCGTTGCGAGTGTTGAATTATGATGGAGATGGAGATGAGATGGAGGGGTCGTTGACTCCACTGTGCTAAACCCTGTGCGGTGCTAGTGCAGTGTTCCCCAGAGCCCTTATCTTCACAGCCCTGCACTATTTCCTACGTGATATCTACGCAGCTCAACCAGCAGCCAACTTATACCATGGAGAAAAAGCTCACAAGGGTTTCCAAAGCCTGTGACTTCTGCCACAAAAGAGCCCGTAAATGCAAGCTACCATCGGCAGAGGGATCGCTCTCATGCCTGACGTGTATCGAGCATGACGTGGCGTGCACATGGACCCGGGTGACGGCCAAGCGAGGTGTCAAGCCTCGGTCGGGCAAATTAGCCCAGAACACGAATGAATCTTGTGTTGTTGGTCCGTGGATATACGATGAGCGGATCCACGGCCCGAGGGACACTATCCGCGCGCTTATAGACACGTTCTTCCAGACCGTGTATCCTGTGTATGCTTATCTGCCCGTGCAGTGCATCCTGTGTTTGTAGTGCTGATTACCGATCCATTTCTTCAGGTTTCCAATATTTGATCAGCAACCACTTCTCCACGAGTGGCACACATCAGACCTTTCCTCAGACCGGTGTTCCTTCTCTTATCTAATGGGTCTATGTGCTATCAGTCTGTCTCATATCAAGGATGGTGCTGTCTTGCCATCCCGAGAAGAGGCACTCACCACGGCTGCCCCAGCGACAGGACTTCTTTCTGTCTTTATAGACAACGCCGAGCGTAGCATCCCAGCCCATGTTCGTGGTCGAGACACCTTCAGATACCTCCCCACTATCGCGTCCCTCGTCCTGGTCGCCTTCCAAACCAGGCACTCCTCCCTTCACCACCGCTACCTAGGTCTCTTCCACAGTCTCATAGCAGAGCAAAACCTACACGAGGAAGTCAACTGGCCGTCAACGCTCACGGAGCTAGAGAGGCAGAGATATCGGCGCATCTTCTGGTCTATGTATCGCCTGGAAGTCCACTCGGCCTTGGTCATGGGCCATGTGATTCGATGTCCTGAGCAGCAGACCATGGTTGCATACCCTAGCGATGGCTCACAACCCGCAGAAGGAAACTGGCTTATCGGTTGGAACTTCGTGACAGACCTGTATCGATCGCTCGAGCATGTCATTAACCACTACCGAGTCAAACGGGCCGGCCGGACGGTGGCAGACGCTTACAGCTCTCGTCTCCCACCGCGAGAACCTCCAGCTCTCAACATAGAGACAATACTGTCTACTCTTCAAGATGGACTGGATTCCCTTCCAAGCGACATGTTGACCGCCCTGCCGCCTTCTGCCAACGACAAGGCGAATCTGTGTGGGTTCCAAGTGGCCAATATTGTCTGTACAAGCCAGGCGCGTTTATCCACACCCTACAAGGCGTCTACAAACTTTCTGCTAACGACCTGTCCAGCTGCTAAAAACATTGTGCTTTGCCTGCGACCCCATGACATTTACGTCGGCCTGTACGGCAGCTCAGCAGATGATCAACAGCATCTCCAAGGTTCCAAGTGCATATCTTCGAGCCATTGGTTCGTGTATGGTCAGTCCTATGTAGTCTTACCACACCAGTTAGTGCTCGAGTAACTAAACTATTCTGCCTACAATTGTAGTTCCAAGAACTGTCTGGAGTTGGGCATCTACTCAGCGGATTCATCAGTCGGCCTCTGTTGTGGACGGAGTACCAAGAGCTACGCAGCCTAATGTTCGTCGCGTTCTTTTATGACTACGTTGAGTACCTTTCATGTTAACTCTGCCACAGTATGTCAATGTCTACCTTCCTGCGGGAAATGGACAATTCAACAGCGAGTACGGCCAGTCTACTGCTTTCACAACACGTTGATCGCATCGATTTGCACACTGAGAAAATGCGTTCTAGCTATCTAGATGACTCGCAACCTCAAGATGACTGTCCCTATGTCGTCCCATCTCTTGATTGGTTGCAGACGTTCCCCTGGTCAGACAGCATCGATATGGATGAGCTGAATAGTCTAGGCTTGATTCCATGAGTTGAGAGCTCACACGGCAATCCTCTGACTGCATAGCTTAATTGTCCATTAGCCCTGTCGCTAGAACTGTTATGCCAGCTTCCACGCCGTCGATTATGCCGACTCGAGGTGGCAGGGCGGTCTGAATACCTCTCCGAAGACTGACCATCCCTGCACATCCCAGGATGATTCTTGTAGCCCCGGCATCCACAAGTTCCTGAGCTGATCGCCGGAAGACCTCTACGACATGACTTTCCGGCAGACTCTCCAGATCCAACACACCAAGCCTCGTTGCACGCACCCCCACGCAACGAGTCCCATAGCCCAACTCCTGGACAGACTCCAGCAAAACTGGCTCCCAGGCCGCCGTTGTCGTTACTATCCCGAATCGCTCATACGTCTCCGTGGTTGGTACAGCCATTCTAAGCGCGGCTTGGAAAATGCCCGTGACCGGCGTGCTTGTCTGTCGTTGAAGAGCGTACACCAGCGGGTGGTCTGAGAAGCAGCACGTGAGGATGCCGTCGAATGGGCGGGTGGCAAGGATGTCGGCCACTCTAGGTAGCATAGCCACAGACGACACGACGGCTTGTTCGTGGTTCTCGATACATGGTGGGCAAGTTGTTAGTCCTCGGCCATCTATGAAGTCGAGCTGGACTTGTGTTGTCGATGGGTAGATCGCTGCAAGGCTTTGCGTTATCCCCGTTGTCGAGATGGGGATGATACAGAGCAGTTTTTTCGGAGGCATGGCGTCAGATCGCGTCCAAGTGATGCCTGGACTGTTCACATCGCGCAGTGCTTTAATAATAGTTTAGATTTGCGCCACTACTTTATACGGACGAGCTTATCAGACTAAAGCCAATGAAACCTATTTACCAATTCTACCGCCGCTAGTAAGCCCTTGCCTCGGGCGTATCTTAGCTTAGGCCTTGAAAACGCTATACTTACTTTCCTATCAAATCGTTCTAGTGGGTTTTTCACTTGCTATCATGACAGACCTTGGGGGCACGAGAGGATGGATTTCTACTTTCAGCTGCGCGTCCCGGTCTTCATATCCTTAAGCAAAATGGCACTTATATATAAGTCAGTTGTCTTTCATGACTCTGAAAAGTAATAAAATAGGACTGATAGCATATTTAAAGTGCATTCTACTACTCAAATCTAGACTAAGTTCTTTCTGCTGATTTAAGCTCTCAGCAACAAGTCTCAACCGCAAATAACAAATCTAGCTCACAACTTAGACATTATTTCTCAAATCTAGACTCCCAGGTTCATCTCCTCCGAGGAAAGTACAGTCTCATCCTTCTTAGCTAGACTACCGTTGCCCGAAACAGCCTCGCCTTCGAGCACGGAACCAGAGTCACCGACCAATCCAAAGGTATCAAAGTAATCTGCATCGTCAACATCCTGGGGCTGCGGCACAGGGAACGCACGAGCGAGCAGATAGTAGAACAGCATGGCGAGAAAGCAGCCCAGGGGCCAGGACATGTAGTACAGGTGCGACCAACCATTCCATTCTGCCGTAGGATCCTGCACGCGGCGAACAAAGCCAGGGAGAAGCAGCCAGGTCGCGGCGACCCAGGCCACAGGGGCACGCCAGTTGACCCCAAGCCAGTACCAATAGATGCTGGTGCTGGACGCATCATACAGACCGGTCAGCATGAGCCGACGTTGCCGCACTATATAGTAGTCCGAGAACATGACTCCCGTCATGGAACCGAGGAAGACGCCGTACCCGCCCATGACGGTAAGGAAGTTACTCGCACCATTCATGAGCTCCCAAGGCTGCATGACGAAAGCAAAGACCGCAGTGAGATAGCCCCCACGGCGAAGGTTAAAGTAACGCGGCAGCAGAGCCGAGAGGTCGATGCCGTTGGACAGCGCGTTCTCGGCGACAGAAATGCCAAACTGCGCTACGACAAAAGCCAGGCTGGCAAAGGCCACGGCAGCCCGTGCACGAGGGGAATCGTCAAAATGGGTCTGCACAGTGGCCAGCAGACGGTACGGCTCCCACAGCAATGTGCCGTTGGTCTCGGGGAAGAGCTTGGAGGCGCAGGAGGTGCACAAGATGCCGATCAGAGCCACCGCGACGGTGCTGAGGGGCACAAAGAGCAGCTGCGATAGGAACTGGTCCCCGGGGCGGCGCGCGAAGCGGGTGAAGTCAGACTGGCTGAAGATATGGGTGCTGATACCACCGATATTAGTGCAGATGCCGAGGACCAGCATCCACCCGAGGCGGCTCCCCTTGGCCTGCTCGACGCCGGCGACGGAGATGTCGGAGACCAGAGGCCCGGCTCCGTGAGCTTGTGAGGTGCACCATATCAAGAGGGCGAGGACGGTGGGAGCGACGCTGCAGGCCGCGATGGCGAAGGGGATCTTGTATTTCTCCGGCGGCACCCAGATGAGCGGCAGACACAGAGACCAGAAGACGATAAACGCGGTGAAGTCTCCTGTGTCCATCGTCCCGTGGGCTAGAGGCGTGTTAAGATTCCGGAACGAAGGCCACAGCGCGGTGAGGAACGTTTTGGTGCACTGGCCCCCCCACCAGATCTGCGTCGAGTACCAGATGAACGAGAGCATGATGCGCTGCACAAGCGGGAACAGCGCGCCGTACATACCCCACGACGCCTTCTGCAGGATGGAGAAGCCGATGTGCCACTTGGCCCCCGGCGCGCCCGTGAGGACGCAGATGATGCCGACGAGGACGTTGCCGACGATGACGGTGAGCATGGCCTGCCAGACGTTGAGCCCGAGAGCGATGACAGAGGAGCCGGTCATCCAGCCACCGACGTTGAAGGCGCCGGTGACGACCCAGAGGCCGACGAACTCCCAGGGGCCATAGGTACGCCTCTCGAGGGGCAGGGGCCGTGTGTCACGGTTCATGTACGCCTTAGTCTGTACATCTGTCTCTCGAGGAATCTCGAGGCGCTTGGCTAGAGTGCGCAGCGCCATGGCTGTAAATGAGCTGCAAATGTGCTCGTAGATTTCTTTGAGCGATGATGCTGATAGGATGGTAAGGATGAGAGATGCGCACGTCTAAGTCAACCCAGGCATGTTGGAAAACACGTTCCAAGCCGCATCTTTATGGTCTTCAAAGGTGTTGTCTTATCGTCAGTACGTACAGATACAGACGCAGATGTAGACACGGGCCCAGACGAGCCATCAAATCGCCAGATAACCGGTAATTCTGCCGCCAGCCAATAAGCAGCGAGACAACCAGACTCTTGGTTCCTATCAGGATGCGGGGAAAGGAAAGTTGATGCTAGATCTGATAGTGGTCCTTCACGGGCCACGCTAAGATAGCCGGCTGGCGGTTATCAGCTTATCTCATATAGAGTTTGATCAATTTAGCAATTTAGCCGTCTCGCTGCCCAACGCATGGCAGGAATGTTCAGGATCGTCACTACAAAAGACTCGAAACTGTTCAAGACCGCCATGTTCGCGTAGCCTGTATCAAGAAATCAGCCCCCATCCGCAGACCTAGACCCGTCATGGCCGCCCTTCCAATAATCGACCTCAGCACAATCTCAGAGGCGCAACTTGCCTCTGAGCTTATACGGGTCGGTAACGACCCCGGCTTCTTCTACGTCACGGGTCACGGCATAGTTCCAGCGCCTGTCTTCGAGTTGGCAAGGGAGTTCTTCCAGGTTCCAAGAGCTGACAAGATGAGATACCGCAATGGCAGTGGTGACTTGGTACGAGATGAACTGGGAAGGAAGATAGCCTCTCTTTCCTCTGGAATGCTAACGAACTGTTCCTAGGGGTACACGGGCATGAGGGAAGAATCGTGCGTATACTACATCCCTGCTATTATTCCCCTTTCTTACGATGCGTCCTTGTCGACCTCATAGCCTGCTCCAAGTTAGCTAATAACAACCTTCACAGTCTCGCGGGCATGGGCCCCGGAGATATCAAGGAGTCATTCTACTTATGTGACCCATCTCAAAGAGCTCTGCAGGAACTACACCCAGTTCTAGAGAACGGGAGGGATCGGCTGGCTCGATTCTTCACCGATACACAGGCGCTCGCCAATCGTCTCCTGCGGGCAATGGAGATTGGGCTCAAGGTAAGGGTTTCACCATTCTACTCACCCCCAGGTATTTATATTGGTCTAACAGTCTCAAACCTCCCCAGATCCCAGAGGGCGTCTTGACTGAAGCCCATACAGGAGAGTCTTGTCGCATAAGGCTCATCAACTACCCAGCCACATCAACGTCAGCAGACGATAATGCGGCGGACGAGATCAGGGCGGGTGAGCACACCGACTACGGATCCCTGACTCTTCTCTACCGCGAACCCTCGGACCAGGGAGGTCTGCAGGTCCAGCAGAATGGGTCATGGATAGATGTGCCCTGCTTCGACGACACCATCGTTGTCAACATTGGCGATGCTCTGGAGTTCTGGACGGCGGGAAGATTGCGATCCACCGTCCACCGCGTGGCATTTCCTCGAACAGCCAGCGAAAATGTGGCGCGCCTGAGTATCCCCGTCTTCATTCAGCCAGATCGTGAGGTCCTCCTCTCGCCGTTGAAGACGTCCAGCAGTGACGCAGCGTCAAGTATTGTGAATGACGATATAATAAGGGGATTCAACGAGGTTCTAGCAAGGAAGGGATATCAAAGTTCTGAGCCGGTGAAAAGCTGGGAACATTTGCGATCAAGAATCCGAGCGACTTATAAGGTTACTTAATTTGGCCATATAGTTCACGCACATAATACAAGGTATCTCAACTCTATATTTTCACCTTTAGCAATCACTGTCGGTCCAAGGTCTTTTCCCCGACAATCTGTCTTCAGCTAGTGCTCCGTTGCCGGCATCTGAGTAAACCATACTCACTGTTCCCAGGGGTTATGGGGAAAATAGGCATTCCGAATGCTGAATTCGAAGTGCACTCCACACAAGGGACTCAATGGTTTACTTAGTTATTCGTCATATCTAATTCGATAGCGTGTTTTACTCTAGTCACGAAGTTTTGTCCACACTGCTTCGTCGTGATTCCGGTCACCTACCCTACATCCGCTTGGTTTGCCTGGCGGTCATTGTGATAACCAGACGGAAAATAAAATCAATGCCAACCACGAATGCGGGGGAGCACCACTTGAAGCACTTTTGTGGGGCCTTGGCTGAATCAATTGGCTGACGATCATCACGCCACATCTACCAGCCTCAGAGCGGCTGAACAGTGGAGGTCGGTTGCTTATCAGAGATACATGAATTGGGGTGTAAGCTCAGGCTTCTGAGAAGTATACTTGATACAAGGTAAAACCCCCAAATCCCCAAGATGCTCTCTCATGAATGCACGGCAGCACCTCATTTCATCAACACCAAACCCTCGAATATTCAAAATCCTCAACATGCCAACTTCTTTTGTCCAATCGTCTCAATGCCAGCGATTAGCTCCGGGATAGAGCTGCGTACAGAGCGGCTAGAACTCTCAATCCCTAACCGCTCAATTAGCATCGCGATACCTAGAGGTTTAATGACATCCTGCCTGCAGTGCCGTCGAAAAGACACACTGATACAACTCGGTTGCCCGAAAATTTGTAGCGCGGAAGATGTCTTTTTAGTCCACGTTAGTGCGTATCGAGTTGCAAGACCATTCTTGTCACTGCTTTGGTCCCCAGGTTAAAGCCCACCAGCACAATTTCAACTGAATACCCCATATACCTGTCCATCGCCGGCCGAAATCTACAATAGATACGAAACACCTTTCTCGATCTGCTCGGTCGCCGCAGCGTCGTAAAGATGCCGAACGAGTAAAAGTTCATATATGGGGAGGAATCGCTCCAGTGGCCAGAATAACGATGCAGCCTCAGCAAGGCACGCCGCCATTCTCGGACATCTCTCTGTATGTAGCCTGCCACTTGGTGCCCTAGCTAGCTTCCCTAATCCTTACACACCCTTTGCCATCATCCCTCAACAGGAATTTCTACTGAGCCGATTACTGCCTTAGGCTACAAGTGAGGGCAAGCTATACAGCCGCAACCTCGCGGCAAGGTCTCACAAGGAGCGGGCACCAATTACTGCACAACCGCCCCCACCTCTGCCAGCAGTCACCGCGACGTAGCCGCTATCACTCTCACAGTATGAACCTACGTTGGGGAAAGCTTTGTCATCAACCAAGCTTCCCGCTGAAACCAATGCTTAGCATGTTACTGGCTATCCGTATTGCACTCTCTCATCGCGTCCTTTCTTCACCTAGGAATCTCGTGTTTTACTACCCTGCGGTTGCGAGTTGTCGATAATGCTAGACCGGAATTTGTCAAACCCACCACCTCGCTCTCGAAATGACGTGACCATCGCGGTACTTTGCGCTCTCAGCAAAGAGTTCAATGCCGTAGTAGCAGTATTCGACGAATCCTGGGAATCCGCGCACTATGGCAAAGCACACGACACGTCCGAAGAAGCCGGTGACGAAATCTTGCTTGGCGACGTCATTATCACCAATAAACTCGTCCAGACTGATTTCGGACGACAACTGCCAGATGCCGTCTATATTAAAGACACACTGGACGACAGCCTCGGCCGCCATTCTTCCGAAGTTCGCAGCTTCCTCAAAACCTTAGGCACTTTTCAGATTGCCAGAGACCTCCGCAACGACACGGCACGTAACCTGACGGATCTTCTTTCAGTCGATGGGTTCGAGAAATTTCGCCACCCGGGATTTGCTCGAGATAAACTGTTCTCATCGGAGTACCGCCATAAGCACCACCAGGCTGACAAATGCTCCGTTTGCGACGGTAGTGGCAGCGTTTCAGGGAAAGTCTGCGATGTGGCTCTCAACAGCACATGCGAGTCACTGGGCTGCGACGAATCAGCTTTGGTGGTTCGCTCACGCCTTACCAGTCTGGCACAGAGCGAGACTACGAAACCCGAGCACTACAAACCCGTCATACACATCGGCACTATGGGATCTAGTGATCAGGTAATCAAGTCGGCATTCCACCGGGACATGTGGACCTCGAGTCACCAGATCATTGGCTTCGAGATGGAGGGTGCCGGTGCGTGGGACTCGTTCCCAACAATACTTATCAAAGGAGTTTGTGATTACGCAGACAGCCGCAAGAACAAAAACTGGCAGGGGTACGCATCAGAAAGCGCCGCGGCTTTTCTAAAGGCTGTATTGAGGCGGTGGACGCCAGTAGATGAGCCAACGGCTCCTATCGTTGACATGAGTTCGTCCTTATATACTTCATTGTAAATTTCCCTCCTTCCTGATGCTAAGATTTGCTGCAGAGCAACATGATCAATGGATCCAGAGTTTCTTTTTGCAGCCATACAAGTCCCAGAAAGACCGAAACGAAAGAGCAGCTGTCGGGACCTGCAGTTGGGTCATGGCCAACCCTCTGTTCCTAAGATGGCAAAGCAATGAATTCAGTGATGTCTTCTGGGTGACCGCAGAACCCGGATCCGGAAAGTCAGTGCTTGCGAGAGCCATCATTGACCGTGGCGAGCGGGATGTGGAGTGGCTCTATTGCTACACTTTCTTTCAGAGAAACGGGGACGCAAATCAGAACAAGGCGACGGCCGCTTTGTGCAACATTTTACATCAGCTTTTTTCACACCACCACTGGTTGATGAAATATGCGAAATCCTTCATGAAATCGCACGGGCCAAAATTGTTCGAAAGTCTCGACCTGCTGTGGGATATTCTGAACAAAATTAAGGCCTGTGTGAACCTCGGTAGTGTGATTTGTATCATGGACGGCTTGGATGAGTCCGGGACTCAGAACAATCAGGATGACCAACATAAAACTCATCAGGAAGCTTAAGGAGCATCAGGTCAACAGCTATTCGCAGAGCCCAGTGGCACCGTTTTCAAATTTCTGGTATTCACCCGACCATACGTCATCATCGTTCGTGAGCTTCGTGAGCTTCGTGAGGATCTCACTCGACTCCGTGGATCATATGGGAGCTATCAGAGAGGATATTTCCCACTACATCGAGATGACCCGTGTCAGACAGAAGTTCTGTCTCTCTGACGAGGTCTGCCAGTGGTTCGAGCCAAGTTGGCTCAGAATACGAATCGCACGTATCTATGGGTCAGTTTGGTCTTCCGAGAGATTGAAAGGTCCAGAGGCAAAACCGTCAAAAAAATCCTGAAGATGATCGATAATCTTCCCAATACAGTCGAGGGGATCTACGAAACCATATTAGAGGACGTAGAAGACCGAGACGAAACAGAGAATCTTTTCATGATTATTCAAGCTGCCAAAAGACCATTGACTCTAAGTGAGATAGACGTGGCAATGGAGCTTGCCGGGGAGTCGACCAGGTATGAAGACTTGGACCTAGAAGGGGATGAAGGTCCAATGGAGTACATTCGCCAAGCAAGCTGTCTTCTAGTCCTAGTTGACGAGACCGTATCTGATTTTCTTTTGACAGCGCCAGGCCCTGCACAAGTCAAACTAGGCTTTGAGGCAGGCTCCAGGCCATGGAAATCCACCATCTCACGCAAAGACTCCCATACAACCCTCGCTAAGCTCTGTCTGGCATTCCTGCAGCTTGAGGACTTCACGAAAGCTGGAATTCGCCTCCAGCTTTCGTATAAATATAAGGATACCGGACATCCGAAGACGACGTATTTTCCTTGGACTATTGAGTCCTATCATCTAGGCTCAATGAAAAGCTTGGTCAAGAGGCTGGTCAATGGGGAAATGCTTCCAGATAGCACTGTCAGCGTAGACTTGACGGAATCAGTCAGCGTTCATCCAAACCAACCATCTGGGGAACACCTGAAAGAGATCAAGGCGCGCTTCTCTTTCCTGGAATACGCGGCAACCTATTGGCACATACATGTAGCTGAGGCGGATATGGAGCCTGATGGCTTCATATTGAGTCTGTTTGACATCAACAGTCCTCAATATGCGACTTGGCTCCCGATTTATTGGCAGACGGCGCCACGCCACGAGAGAGTGCATCTATCTGCTTCAATTCTCGCACTTTGCTTCGGTCATCGGCGCGCACTGAGCCGGCTAATAGCCAACGGCTTAGCTGTCGACGAGCGGGATCCCTTCCGTCAAACGGCACTGCACTGGGCGGCGTCGAGGACGTCAAGAGAGGACCTTGAGTTTCTGATAAGCCAAGAAGCCATCATTGATGCTGCTGACAGCTTCGGGAGGACCTCGCTTATGGAAGCTGTCATTGCTCAGAAGCAGGCACACGTGGCCATACTTCTTGATCGTGATGCCGATCCCAATCTGCAGGATCATATGGGCCTTCGGCCAATGTCGGAAGATGCCCAATGGACTTCGCAGCTGAGGGCAGCCATACCAATGTTCTGAAACCTCTCATAGACCAGGGTGCTGAGCCTCAGCCCTGGACTGTTTTCAAAGCAGAGGAATGGCAGAACGAAGAGATCAAAAGGCTTTTACGCCGTCGAATGAGAGAATTGGGCGCCGCAGCGCGGTCTGAAGCCGAGAGGAACGCGTCCCCGACCGCACGGATGGTGAATTCAATCAAGTTAAATGACGCAAGAAAGCTTCTAGTAGTATTGGGTCGACATGCCGAAGTGTTGGCCGCTACTGACAGCAGGAGCAACAATACTCTCCATATTGCAACCACGAAATGCAGTGTCGAAGTCGCCTGTCTACTTGTTGAACGTGGCATAGATCCAAACGCAGTGAATACGGCAGGAGTCAATGCCCAATTCTTTGCACACATTGCAGATAATCAACCCATGATCTCATATCTACTGGAAGTCGGCGTGCAAGGATTTTGTAAGGCCACATCAGTTAAAGAGGGTGTCATCTCTGAACTGCGCTCTCATGCGCAGCTTTTGGAAATACCACCCCTAGTAGCCGCGATACGCCTTGGGGCAGCTAATATTGTACTGCAGCTACTTGAAGAAGGCGAAAATGTGAATCAAACTTGGGGGCCACTTCGAAAAACGCCAATCTTTGCTGCTGTTGAGCGGGACCAGCAGCCTATCATAAACGTTCTACTGGGATTTGGTGCGGACGTCGACTCTCGGAATCTGCTCCAGCAGAACTTGCTTTGTTGCTGTATCCTTACCACCGGAAGTGCGTCGCTTGCGGACTTTCTTGTCCAATGAAAAGTAAGCATCAATCACTTCGATTACGGCGGAATGTATCCACTGAATTACGCCCGGAAGCTTGGGCTGGAAGAAGTACAGCAGGTCATACAGCATAGGCGAGATGAGGAGTTAAGAAGCGTAAGCTCACAAGAACTAGACGTGCTTGGTGTATCTCAGATCATCACTGCAGTCACCAGCCTCATTGAGGCAGAAAGACGAGGCATGGATGTTTTTAAGTTCTCTGATCGTCTCTTACACCACCGTCCCCAGCCAGGTGTACTCGAAGAACTGGTATTTTGGGACGACCCAGCACTAAAGCCTGATGTGCAGATGACCGACCCTGTCATTAATAGATCTTCGCCTGGCAACGTGCCTCAGATTCCATACAGACCATCTCAAGGGGTTTCCTTGGAAGAGCATGCGGACCCTGAACAAGACGAGCCGGTGTCAGTTGACAAAGAAACTATTCCTCGCTGGTTTGAACCTTAGCTGCAGGTAGCGGCTGTTATTGTCTACAAGCTACTGTCTAACAAAGTAGAGTCAAGCAAGGATCAAGTGACGAGGGACATAAATCGAGGATCGCCTACGGTCGGTAATTTGGTTCCGATTTTCGAGGCATGGGAGTTGCTTGCGGACGAGGTGCCAGATACGGTGGACCTGCATCAATGACCAGAGAAACTAGGTGTCAATGACGGCGAGGACCACTGGCCAAGTTTATATCGCCTGCTTAACTTCTTTTGCAATCGAGTTACGGGTCATGGAGATGATGATATTGCCAATAACGACAATGGAGACAAAAGTGATACCGAGAAGACAAGAGCAGTTGAAAGTATGGAGGAGTGGTATTTAAGGCAAATTATGACAGAATTGGACTCTAGGCGAAAAGATCCAGGGATGCTGTACTTGAGGTACCTGGAGGGACAAGACTCGGATGACGAGGATATGTACTTGACCGATGAGAAGATGCAGGAAAAGATCCTGGATGAGGCGGCAGCACGTCGAAAACAACAACCTTGGAACCGGTACACCTACCTGTTTGTCCATGAAAGAGTATGCACAGGGGCTCGCGCCTATGTACACGACTACAATGTGCCAACTCTGTCACAACCTCTTATACTAGAGCAGTAGCCTTAAGTATTGTAGCTCATGGGCGAGGACACCCATGATCCCGATACCAGGTCAATTGCTCTACCAGCACGTCTCCGACCCGAAGATAATCCCTACAGTGGCCGGTTGGCTGCAAAGGCCTCTAGTTCAGGCTCTGGCCGCCCCAGCTCAGCGGCTTAAGAAGGAAGCGACCGTTTGAGCAATGACATAGAAGCGCCTCTTCCGAACTCCGACGTCCTCGAGGTAATAAGCGAAGTCTAAGGCAATGGTTCGAACTTAACGCCGACTACCCCAGGACCACGACCGAAAGCGGATGGGATAGGATGTTCGAGACTGTCGCCGATCTGCCCACAGCAACTGCCAGGTCTCGGTGTGGACACAACGACCTCAACCTTGACCCAGAATAAGGCTTGGGAAGAGTGTAGGGCTCGATGGACTCTCCATGAGGCCAGTAATGCTGTCAACAAATTTCTTTATAGGAACAATTCGGGTTAGGACGGTCGGCACGAAGATGATCCTGACAATTCTGAAAAAGTTCAAAAAACACTATCCCAAGACAAGCGGATATTGAACTTGCCAAGTTGACCAAGAAACGACGATCTGTCACAAGTACATAAATAGATGCAGCTTTTGACACCACGATGTCTGGTCAGAAATGTGCTAGGTAGCAACCCAACCTTCTGCTTCACAACCCTCCCTATATCGGAACCGAGTTGCCATCCGCGCAATGCGAGCGGGTGAAATTTCACTTGGTGACAGTGCTGTTTGTGAGAGTGCTGAAAACTCTCATGAAGCTCTTCCAGCGGACCGTTTGCGGCTGACCTGTCGAACATGATGTCCATCTCCACCCGCCTCTGCCACCGTTGGCATTATCACTGAGGACCTTGGGATTGACGTTACTCTTCCTGTCATCTGCGATCACAAAGGGGCCGAGGCGCAAATGTACTACCGTGGTACCCTCAAAGACTTAGGCAAGCGATCCGATGCCAGTAAGTAGCTTCCTTTTGTATTGCCCCTTCACGTAAACCTTTATTCTCAGACTCGATTGGAACTGGCCGAGGTTGCCGAAGGCCGCGAAGTGTCACGCAAAGTGGCAAAAGTGGTGATCAAGGGTCCTTGCGGAGAAGGACTACTCAGCTGGAGCTTGACTCTGTGATTACGAAATCTAGAATCCTCGATGGCGAAGATGCAAAAGAATTGCCTCGGCATGTGGCTCACCACGAAGAGGTTCAAATCTTTCGGGGATTCATGAGAAGCTCTTGGTGTGATACTGCGGTTCTCCGTGCCTGATTAAGATGGCTTTCAGTAAAGTACTATTTTAAGTATTAACGACTTTGAAAGTTATTGAGGCGCGTATTGCAGCGCTCGGTCTTCACCATATGATGTTCGATAGGGCATAAGTGGACATGGAGACTGATTGTAATCGTGTGCACTAAGACAGGCCACGGTCGACGACAGAATGCTGTGTCCATGCCAGCGCAGCCTTGGTCTGCTGTCTGCCTCGGCAGACCCTCCATGCGTTGAATGATATGGTCTAGAACGCGCTAGTCCATAGAGCAAGAGGCCTAATGCTTCGGCCACTGGATCCCGCCCTTGATCGCCCTTACACCGGCTGCTCAAATCGTAGTCGTCGGTGCGATGGCGAACAATGGCAAAGCCAAGTTGCGATGTAGCGTATCACTCCTCTGACGTGCAATGGCTTCGTGCTCTCCGCTTGGGTCTCGTATTCTCGTGATCGGCCGAGCAAGCGAGCTCTTTGGGAGGAGTGGATGGACCGATGGCAATTTATCTATCTAGCAGGAATATGTTAGTGAAAGAATCCCACAAAACTAAAATTGCTCAAGATTTACGGTAAGGAACGCTCAAGTTGAAGGATGGGGGACCATACCGTGTCAGACGATGGGCACTACGAAATAGATGACCATGTTAGCAATCGTGCTAATATTGGTCCCAAAATGGAGCGACTTACGTGCTCGAGGTCAAATTCAATCGTCAGCATCAGATGTTGGTTACTCGAGTGCTGTCTTAGACACGAGCTTTCGTAGCTGATGTATTGGAAGAAATGGTGTTTGTTCTGCATGCGTCTCGTCTCGTCTCGTTCTCTGCAGGGATTCGCGCTGAAGATGACGTAAAATTGGGAGGTTACACTGAACCCTCCGTATTTATGTCATTCATGAAAAGATAGGCATGGCCGATTTGAACAACTAATACACAGTCACCTGCATTCCGTAACGACAAGTATATTATGGAGCCTTAAAGTCTTTCTAGGATACCCTGATGCTCACACTATTATCCACAGTAATGCCATCGACACCTTGCGACAAAGGCCCCTTGTGTGGTAATTTGAGGACAAGACTGCACAAAAACCGATGGAGGTGATTATTCTTACTAGAAACCGACGTCTTGCAATGGTACGCATGCACTCACCACTAAGCGGTTGGCGCGTTCTCCAACGCAATGCTTTGGGCTGGTGGTTACTTGCACCGTTTTCAAAAGGTCAGGCACTCTACCAGCCGCCATCTCGTGTAGTCGAAGTAATGAAGAATTTACACAACATGACCGAATCCTCATTGCTGTCAGTATGGCCGTTGCAGTAGTGGGGCGTTCTAGTAACCTCCCCTGCTCGTCAATGCCGCTCTAACGTCACATCATGCTCTTCAGGAATTGCCCTTTTGGTCTATCGTCTAAATCATCATTGGATGAGGCGCTAAAAGTCTAACCTTGGTGAGAATCAGTCCCCACTTGGACTGTCGAAGTTGTACGGCACAGTGTCTAGTCTACTTGGCACCAAAACGTACACAAGATTAAGGCTGGCCACTTTGGGGTTACTACAAGGGACTGTGGCAACTGAGAATCTCAAATTCATATCGCTCTTGCTATGCTATACATTTTGCAGATCTTCTAAAGCTGGGTTGAAGCAATGTTTTGAGCTTTTTAGGGCTCTTTCATGCCTACGCCCCAGGGTAGGGCACCTTATTGACTAAAGACACTCCAATGCGGTTCAATGGTTCATGTATACAAAAGACAACGAATAATTTATATGTTACCTTAAGAAAGGTGATGGAACAGGCAGAGGTTTCGCGGGCACACGTCGTTAAGGCTGGTCGTTTCTTAGGCAGAACATTTATACTCACGTTAAGGACTTGGATGAGCTTTGCTTCCGCGTCCGTAACGGCCAGTTTTCTTGTGTCGAATTTTGAGACCTTTCTTTTTCTCATTTGTATATAATACTATTAATCTGTCTTGAACAAACTGTCTTGCTGAAGTATTGACGCACAGCACTTGACGATTGAAGGCGTCTGATGAGGTTCGATGGCTATGATCTTTAGCCACGGAAAATTGGTTGAGCCGTTGACGGTTTTGAAGCGGTTGCGGCGCCTCACAGCAACGGTCGAGAATTCGAAGGGCAAATTGAATTACCTTAGTAATTGCATCAAATCATTTAGTTCTTTTCAAGGGGAATTTCCATAGTGTGTGCATGACTGGGACTTTCGCAACTGGTACCTCATGACTGCGATGAGCCATTGCTGCCTTTCCCAAGTCAGTTGGTCTTATGTACAGTCTTTAGGGACTCTTCGGCAGAGCTACTGACCAGACTGGAAGCAGCTAAATTACAGGACGTCTTGAGTGTGGGCACTGTCGCGGGAGCAATTGCCATGGGGCTTATAGGACGTTTGGTGGGGCTCGGATCCCCTGTAGATGAACGGCGAGTAATCGCGGGAGGTGCTTAGCGACCAAGCCTTCCGCGTCAACACGTCTTGTCTCTGGCCTGGACTTGATTCCATTGCCTCGACCTCGACCTTCTCTACCATCCTCATACTTCAACCACACCAAGTTTCCCCTCGCACATTCTCATCAACAGCCTACGCTCTTCCAGCAATCAGTCCTCGCTTCCACCAAATCCCGGCTCATTTATCCCTCGTTTCATCCACGCGATGTAGGTGACCGCACCAAGTTCCCTCTTCCTTCAACACAAAGTTTTCCCTCTTTCATCTCATCAACGACACACCTCCATCAATCTGCTTTCCCTCCCATCAAACTTGACCTCATTTGCCCTTCGTTTACCCACGTCACTCCCGGGAGTTCCATCTCTCGAACTCCCAAGCCTCATCCTCCACGCAGTGCAGATGACAGTACCATGTTCCCTTCTCCAGCGACACGACATTGTCCCATCATGCCCCCCTCGGTTGCAGTCATCAAAATTCCACCGAAGCGCCTGTGAGATTTGGCCGCGACACTAACTCAAGAAGCAAACAAGAATGCAGCGAGCCCAATCGATTGAGCCATGCACTACTCAGGTGCCAAAGCTGCGGACATGCCGCGACGATTGACAGACGCTAAACAACCAACCCGCATCCGAACTTTCGAAAAGAGCATCTCGACATTCCTTGTCCACCACAACCACAAGACCTTGACGAGCGGTGACGCCTACCTCGGCAAATGCCCCAACTTAGACGGTCGGAATGCCCATACCTCTGTGTATCGCGCTCGAGACTTGCTGCCGCTGGCTTGAGCTCCAAGACCCAAACAGAGCTTTGATCTTACCTTGGTCCTCGAGTTCCAACATCCCTCGACAAGTTAAACCCTCAGGAGATGAGGACGGTCCGCCAATGTTCCACTCAGACACGTATCACGCCCGATCAACGTTCCCGTTCATGAAACCTACAGGCAATCCACTTCCCCCTCTACCTTCCCCACGGCCTCCCCCGTATGATGCTAGAGTGACGCCCTTGATCAGATCTATGATCGCTGCGGCTCATGCTATGCCCGGGCACTTGAAGCCCACGTACAGACACCGAGGAGGATCTACAAAAGTGCCCGAAATAACTCGAATTCCAACGAAAGGAACGAATCGATCTTTCGCACGTCTCGAGATTTCGCGACAAGAAGAGATGGCACAACAACCCCGAGCTCTATCATCGCCGCCGACCGTCGACGACCCAGATGTAAGACAAATCTTTGGATCAGAGTACACATCCATGCCACTGGTTGTGTCTTGACAGATCCTCGCCGACAACATTCGAGGCGCCCAGTCTATCCCAGGCACAGCCCGCAAACACCACTAGACTCTTCAACCTTCAACTCGCCAACACTCATTTGCGGGCATGGCCTGGGATAGACGGCTTGGGGGGCATTCATCGTCTTGACTCCGTCTTCAGCTCTGCAACTCCACAACAGCC